AAATGACAAAGATCTGGCGGTCATTTTGGATGACAACAACAATGCCATCCAACATCGTGACGATGACAAATTAAAATAGATAGGCGCTTAGAGGAATAACACACAGATTCAGGGATGAATTAATTTATTTTGTCATAATGCCTTAAGCCTCGGAGCCAAGTTTGAATTTGAATATATCGAAATTGGCTAGTTTGGATGTATTAAAATTATAACGAAAGAAATCACATCGAGATTGGGGGATTGATAATTAGAGCATTTTGGTTAATTCCCCTGCGCCTTGGAGCAAGTTAAAATTCTGATATATCGAAATTGGCCTATTGCTACAATTAATTCATAAAGGTGCTTAGAAAACATAAAGACATCAAATAAGTAATGCGACAACAATCTAAAAAGTGCATTTATAACAAATACAGCGAAAAAAAGTTCCGACGGTTTCATTTCTGTTTGTGAACTTGTTTTGCATCGCGGCTAACGTGCTGAGGCTGGAATTGCAAACCAAGTATGCCGACAGGGAAGCCATTATGCCAAAATGTTGTTTGCTTTTACATGCAAAAGTTCTAGAAAGCATTTTTGTTTCTTTAAACTAACATCAGACGAATAAATGAGGCTGACGACAACAGCGCTAGCCCCGCAGAAAACGGCTTTCGTTTCCGTTAGTAATGTATTGTTTAGTATCTAAAGTATCTAACCTTTTGTAGATCTTGCGAGCATCCATTTTGTTTACGTTCCAATTTGGGCGTTGGGCCTTGAGAGTTAACTCTTCGGTTAATGACACAAATCCAAAACGGCTTTCTGGGATTTTCCGAGTACGTTTGTTTTACATCAAAAGAACCACACTCTGCAGTTCGCAAGCAAATGTCAAGACATTCCATCTGCGTTAAAACTTGTTGCTGAAAGAGCTTCATGCTGGGTCTTGGCTCGAGTCGTCCGGGTTGTTGGCATCTTTGTAACATTTCTTGGAAATTTCCAATGGTATTTTCACAAGATTCGCAGAAAACAGAACTTGAAGCCGAAATAATTAGAACCCCAGTAGTGAACTTCAGTAAACTTTTGATCAACATTATCGCGGCATTTCAGAGTTAAGAGGAAATTCAGTCAAATCTTAGAACAACATAATCCATCGGCGTAAAGATCGCGTGTTTACTCACTGAAAAGAAGAAAAAAGAAAAAACAAATGAACAAACAAAAAAAGAGACGTTTCCGTCGTTGCCTTATTCTATTTTTCGTGAAAGAATACTTGTTTGTGAGTAATTTTACTTTCAGTAAGTCAACAGGGAAATGTGCTGTCATTTACAGAAAGTCCAGCGTTGCAATTAAAAACACATAGATGTAATTTCCAGTAGGGCTGTTCATCTATTTGCCAGAAATCGACCAAATTAAGAGAGAAATCAGAAGAAACGAGCAATATGATGTAATTATTATAATTACAATTTTTTTATCTTTTAGAAAAAGGAAAACTACATACACATGTATAATTTAATAAGATAACATTATAAAGGTTGTATTTTTTTGCTTCATATTATTGAAATCGCTAATACACAAGAGAATCAAGCTTTGAATAAATGAGGTATTCATCGCCACAGTCAACTGAGTAAAAACGACAGCAACTGTCTGAGTGACGCATTGGGCAGATGAGAAGCGCGTTTTTCATCACGTATACTCGCGTAAAAACAAAAAATCGGTGCGCTCGGTGCAGACGAACTCCTGTTCGTCTCCGTTGCTGATGTTCGAGAGAATAAATAATAATTATGCTCTTTGCAGTTTTGCAGGAAAGCTGTTCAATACCCGACGGTATATATTTATACCACGCCATTGAAAATACAGCTAATCAGAATACAGGAAAGCCTTTGAATACTCATGTAATGCATGCCATAGAAAAATACGGCCAATCAGAATACAGGATAGCCTTTGAAAACTCAACAGTATAACACCCATCCTTTCCATCGTCCACCGCATTGATTGTTCTGGCCACTGTATTTTTTATGGCATCGTATAAAATAGTTATGCAACACTTCTTCGTGGTATATCATGGAATATCCCACGAGTCACTTGCATTTTCGTTAATTTGTATAACGAGAAAATTAAATGCGAGTAACTTCGATATTCCATGTTATTAAAAACTGGGTCATGGGATAACACATTTTAAGCGTTTCCATTGGCTTAGCAGGCTTAGCCATCATGGTATATGAGCCATTATAATCCATCAAATATTCTCGCTTGCCGCTTGCGCAGGATTGGTCTAAACGCGTCAGGTGACTGAATACGCCCCAGCTAAAACTGGGGAATATCGAGTGATATTCCCCAATTTTCAAAACTGTGTGTGTTTCGAGAAATGTTTGAAGGATAATAACCACAATAGCCTCCATTTGCGGCGAAAATATGCTCAGATATTTGTCCTTGGACATTATCTATTCCTCAAAGCTCCAGTTTTCCTCAAGCCACGCTCTCGGAAAACTGTTCTCTTCTCGGAATAGATCATGTCCGCGGAAAAATATCTGAGCATATTCTTGCGCCAAATAGAGGCTATTGTGTATTTATACCATGCTCTACAAATATGGCGAGCGTATACGATAATTTTGTTGGGAGTGTTTTTATTTTTTTGTTTTAGTTTTCTATATTTTGGGGGCATTTTAAGTAAAACAATTATTCCACTCACGATTGCTTGATATGACATGATTATAACCAACTCATATCCAACGCGAGCTCGTAGAATAATTGTTTAGTATAACACTGGAATACCACTCCTTGCGTAACTAGTGTCGATATATATACATGAACGCGGCAAATACTAGGTGACGTCACTTATTATCATTATTAAGGAGCCATCAGAGTACGTATACTGTTGTTTAGATAAGGAACAAAGAGTCACCACTGCGTAACGTCTGGTCCACTACCCAGCGAGTCAACGATTTTGTTATATAACTGAAAAACAATTGAAATCAGCTAAACTTCTCCTTCATTCGATTCACATAAGTGTATCCACTATGTCTTATTCACGAAGAATGAAATGCGCTTGTTCTCAGTTCCAGCAGGCGTCAACTTCTGATGTCAAAATCTGTTTTAAAAAAAGAAAAAAATGGTATCAATTTATCACATGTTTAAATGGTATACATAACAGATGATTATACATGCGTCGAGCTGCTGACATATTCGCCAAAGTTATGTTGCTTGCAGGCGCAAAACGAGTTTTCTGTCACGTCTCCTTCTTTGAAGTTTGATTACAGAACTGAGAGCTCTTGCAACTGTAGTATTTACATTGTTGAAGTAAGTGACTTCTCAGTTGTATAGTTTATTTTTTTTTGTTCTTGGGCCTGTTTCTCTAAGGTCCCGAAAAGTTCTCGCTCCCGAAAAGCCGTAGCAAAATCTCAAACCTTATGACTTCAGAACTGTTTTATGCACATATTCTCAGTATGAACAGATGTTCCCTTCATACAAGACGTTTCAGGCATATACGCCTCTTTAAATACCGATTGACTAAAAATGGCTTTGCGGGCCCGAAAAGTTTCCGGGGCTTTCGAGAAACGGGGCCCTGGACTTCTTTATATCTGTGTACCTTCTCGTTATAATTGGGTATAGTGTTACGTTTTTGGTGTATTGATCATTTCACTCCAGTTTCTTACCGAATTACAATTCCTATGGAGAAGGCTTTCATCTTGAATGATGCCGAATTACAGTGAAACCAAATCTTACTACGGTATTGAATGGTGAAACCCCACACTGACATTTATCTCAAATAATCAGGTCTCTCAGCATAAAGTCTTCCTTTCGACTAATGGAACTGAATTTGGTTGTGTGAAAACAATTGAATAATACATGTAAAATACATCAAGAACTTACGAAGAATATACTACCTATGCTAAATTAAAGAGATTTTTTAGCCTTAATCTTTTTGAACTAACAATGCAACGTTGTCTTTCTGTTCATTATCGGCTGATTGTATCAACGTGAAAGTTAAATGTGGACTTTTTTTTTATCCATTGATGACATCACTCAGGATTCAGTTTATTAAAAGTCCATTATTGTAATGGACATTAGTATAAGAAATTGAGCGAATGTGAGTGCAGTTATGAATTGCATCGAGTGATACGCGAGAATTTTCTCAAAAAAGGCTCGTGCAATTTGAAACAAGTGTCAAATATCGCGAGTACTGTAAATCCTTAATTGCTCGAACTTTCATACGATCACTCATTTATTATTTTATGACTGAGATGAGATAAAAGTTTGCGTTACATCTAATTTGCACTCCACTGCAGATCTAAAATTAACGATAAATTTTTCTGTTCTCAGCCAATCACAATAAAGTATTTTCCCAGTCAACTAACGACTAATTTACATTATAATGTGGAAAAGGGAGATTCATGAAACAAGAAAAAAGCACCTTGATTCTTTAAATTCTTATTATGAAACCATGAGTTACCCAGTGATAAGAGATTCGTACTTATTATTTTAGGCAGGTATTTAATACTTTCGCTGTAGACAGTCCAGTCCGCGTTTAACCACATTTCATCTGTTTTCTTTGCTACATGTAATTTCCCCTGTAAAATGAAATCTGTTATTTACTGGAAGCTTCTTTTGGGACTGTTAACTATACTGTGCTGATTTGCTGAGGAGTATTGCTCAATCGGAAAATCTTGATAGGCTTGCTGGAATCTCAGTTATCAGTAAATTTTGCATCTTCCGCCTCGACTAGCTAATGCGAATTACGTGTTGAGTGAATTTTTTTCCCCTACCTTATTAATGATATTATTTTCTTACTGTCAAGGTGATTTAAATCCTTGTTTCACCTAGATAGTTTCACTTTTGCCTTTAAAATGATGTTAGAAACATCGAAACGTCGGACAACTTTTAACATTTTTGCTAAAGTTTTTCAATAAACCTTGGTGTGAGTAAAGAAATATGCTGTTGCAAAAACTGCTCTTTCTCAGCTGCCAGTGAAGATTTTGGCCAATTCTCCGCTACCAGCTTACTACGCCCTATAACCAACAATGGTTCCAATAGAAATGACGACTCAACTACATCACCGGTATTTTAACTGACCTCGCTCTCAACTGATTTTATATCCATATCGACCAGCTTTGTGAATTAGCCGTTAATACTACCGTCAACCACGATATCCCTGTAGAGTAACTAACCTCGTGAAGGTAATGCGAGCTCACATTAAAATGAATCCATCTCCTTGAGTAGACCAGCCCTCTATCGATAGAATTAATTCGCCGCTTTATATACTGCGCAAACCCAGTGTCTTCTCCATTTATTATCTTTCACCAATTGTTTTCACTGAAAGAAATCACACGCTGCATTTCTTAGGCAGATATCGGGGCATTCCATGTTTGTAAACACCCACCTTCTTGAAAGCTCGTAAGCCGCATTTCGAGGAAATTTTCCGGCTTGCTGACACGTCTCCAATATTCCTTGAAACGATCATTTTGTCATTTTGGCAGGAATCACACAATAAGGGAATTTTCAAAACAAAAGAAACCACGAAGACTGTGAAAACTACCAGAAATTGGAATTTGAACATTTTGGATTTGAAGTCCAGGTTAGTCTGTGTTTTAAATTAGGCCACAAAGTGAATAAGTCTAGTCTCACAGGTAGTTAACAGTTTTTTTACAGCCGATATTTCCATTTTCGCATCATCACAATGCAAAGTAGCTGTGCAAGTTGTAAATTCAATACACCAGCAAATGAGTCTCACGGCTAATAGATAAGACATCACAACAATAGATAGGACACCATCACGTGTCCACCCAAGCAGGGCATTTTCCTTTGTCTTAATTTTTGCCCATTTTATGGTGACGACTATTGTTAAAAATTAAACAGAGCAAGGTGATAGGATTTACAAATACGGATTAGTAGAATTCTACTACATGCAAATGCTGCAATCTGATTGGTTGGGCCATCGCACAATGCCGTCCATTGGTGTGCAGTGGCTTGATGCGGTCAACAAAATGACAACGTTTTCTTGTTTCGCAGAAGTTTCGAAGAAATATTTAGAAACATATGGATAAATAGATTNGCATGAAAATAAATCGACGCAGGTAAGCAGTCGACGCCTATAACGGCGCAAACCGGATATGACGTCACTGCGATAACTCAAGGAGGAGCTAATGACCAGTGGAGCCACTGAAATCATGTCGTTTTGATTTTCCAGAGAACGTTATGTAACAATCTCATTATTGCCTCCCAGAAAACTTGGAGTGTATCGCTTGAAGGGAAGTAGCTTGTGCTTGCTTCCGTTATAGTTCGGCCAGGTTTCCATTCAGAAACAGCGTGCTTTTTAGTTTGTTTCCTGTAGTTGTTTTCAATTCTCTTTCCTTTTTACGAAACGTGACGAGTATATCCAGTTTCCATTATATGCTCTGTTGGACATTTCTTTTTAATTGAAGAGCGGGAGTATCAAAGCAGGCGCTTTTTTGTCGGCGCTAAGTTTGTTGTCAAGAAGATCATTGCAACCTTCTGCAAAATAATATCAATGACACGAGGTAACTTCAAATGTTGTTTATTAGTTCTTGTGGTCTCCAGATGGAGTCAATGACAATGTGGTAAACACCTCACGTTTACGACTTTTAACCATCAGTTTAAATGTTATAAAAACTCGTAAGTGTTTTTAAAGATGGCGTGATAAACTTAAACTGTTGAAGCTGAGACTATAAACGTGTTGCGGTTGGCTCTTGGTTGACACGTAGTTACAATAAAACGTGCTTAAAATCTGACAGCTCGGTGTAGTTTATAACTGAGTGAAACTACCGTCAGAAACTACCAGAAAATGTTTTGCCGTTTTCTACTCAAATTTACTTTTGACGTGAATGTGGAAAGAAAGCTTGATATCACCCGGCAGACCTACAGTACAGGCAGGGATTCATTTGGTGGTTGAAAATTGTGTGTACTGACTGGCAAAGTACGTTACTGCATTAACAGTTATCTTCACCAATGATCTGGGGAAGTATTCAAGTAAACTTTCACTGGCAATCAATTTGCTCCTGTTATCGCTAAATATTTGTAAAGAAAACCTCCGTGTATTCAGTACGTTCAAATGAACTTTGACTAATCTCAATACACGTTGAAACTGAAGCAGCACCGGTCCAACCCAACTCTAAACTGGTGAAAATGCCCCAAACAAGTGAATCCTGTTTGTAATCTGTTGAAACGAGAAGTGACAAGCGACAAATTACCTTTTTAGCAGAAGTCTTCTCATACATAAAATTGTCAGCTCTTAAACGCCAAAGAGAACTGCTTATTATGGCTGGCAATGTCAGGAACTATCTCAGTTGTAACACTTTTAACGGTCCTCTGAATTTTCTTCAAGGCACTTGAATTGCATTTCCTGCTTTAGTAAGCACAGCAGAGGTTTTGACACTTCATTTTAATTAAATTTTGACGTAAACAGAAAAAATAATAAGAAAGAATGCAAAATTTGTTAGGCGATCTTTTAGCTGAAGGATTTGTTTCACTTGAAATCAGTTATTTTTCTAGTGGTTTTATAATTTTTGTCGAAAGTCGATGACAAATTTCAACTTTGGACCACCTGATGGGTGGAAATTCTATTCTACAGGTTTAAGCTGGTTTAAGTTTCTCAAGCTCTTATCAGAGTTTTGCAAAGCTCTGTCTATGTTGTGGCGAAAAAGATTAAAATACCAAATTCCTGCTATGGGTTGGAATTCTCGTCAACTAAAAATAGCGAGGTATTGATCATATTTTGGCCTGATTGCATTCCTGAGTTTTCACCAAGGTCCTAGGCCTCAATATCTCGATTATTGGAAAAAGGACGACTAGGGAAGCAAAGTCAAGTGGTACGATGGTAAAACGGATTAGTTTTGTTAGGTTTCTGATATTTCACAACAAGAAGAGTTGTACATCAAAACATGATGTAACATTCGCGTGATTGTTAGCTATTATAACACGTCGGGGTATTTAATTAAACTGAATTGTTCCCCTTTCCGCGCAATGTGGTCAGAAAAACGCGCGTTTCGAAAACGGCGCAGAGACCCGCTGTTTGCGAACTATAAATAAACGACTTTCAGCGCTGCGCACATAGCTTTGCACGTACCAGCTCTGAAGTATCGACTGACATTTTGCAGTTCGAGGATGTAGTGCTTCACAAACACGTACGTGTTAGAGTCCTTTCATCAACGAAAAGTAGGTGGATTCGATGTTTCGATATATTTTCAGTCTGCCAGCATTTGGAAATGATTTAATAGTTTGGCATCCTGCCGGGCTGAAATTGGCTGGGGGCATGCGAGGAACAGGCGAGACGAATATTGCGTTGAGTGAATGTTGTAATATGAAACGAGACACTTCGCCCCATGCAAGTGCGATAAGAGGATCACATCACTGACCAAGGCAGGTATAAATTGCGTAGCTCTCCTGTTATAAGGTCATATTTTCCGCAAGCTTTGCGTCAGATCAGATAATTGTAATCGCACGAGCGAGAATAACAGACTAGTAAGTTATCAACAGGAAGATAAAATCAGTATTTGACATAAAGCCCGGCTTTTGATTACTTCAGCGCTGAATTTGTTCTACGTCTCGTAGGTTTACAACATCACTCAGATACCAAAGATGGAGCAAGGAAGGCAAATTGTGTCCTTGGTCTTACTGGCAGTTGTTTCTGCCCTGTTGTCGGTTAGCGAGACAAGAAGTATTGCATCAATGGAGGTAAGTCAGAAGAACTTCAATGTTTCGGGTAGACTATTTTGTGAAGCTGTTGCTGAAGTTTTAATTTCGATTATTTCACGAAGACGCATTTTGGTCAACGGGAGATCAAGTACATTGGGAGTGCAGTATATGTAATTCTGACTTGAAAGTTCGTCGTGTTTTTGAGGAAGTCGGCATTTTGCACCTCTTCCTGTTGTGAGGATTCTAAATAGTTTTAGAAATAAAACTGAGAGTAAGCTAAGTCGTGGAACATCTTCGATTCGTTTTGCCTTTCGAGTATATTTCCTCCAAGTACCAAGTAAGCAAGAAACCTTATTAAACCAATGCGTGATTCTAAACGAACTGATAGCTCGACTTAACACTCATTGCAAAAGAAGCCGGACGTTCAAGAGGACAAGGCATGTAAAGCAGTCCGCCACTGTCACTTCCAAGAGCACAAAAATTCCAAAATGAATTCTAGCTAATTCCTTCTGGTCGCCAAACAATTACGCAGACATTGAAGGGAAATTAATAAAGATAAAACTGGGATTACTCGTCTAGTTGGTTTAAACTGTCGGGTTGTGGTGTCATTTATTACTTAGTTAATAAGACGTCATGCTTTATTTTCGGTTATATTTTCATAGTGGGAACCGAATGACCCCAAATTGCACCGGAAAGCTCTGTTACGGATGTGTCATTTCTAGTCAATTATAAGTAGCTGTGACTACTTGAAAGTGAACGCTAAGAATCACAACTGCTAAGTTCTTTACTTCTTGAGACTGTAGCATTGAACGCAACCGTAAAATTACTTACCGAGAGCTGATTTCGGCGGAAAAAACGGCTTAAACAGTGCGCAATAGCTATTTCTTTTACGCAAGATAATTCTCCGCTGCAATCTGAACAGCACCATAATGTAACAACACAGTTTTAAAATGCGCCTTCGCTTACGTACCTTTAAAGAAGTTTTCGACTTTTTCGTTTGTGAATGCTCGCATTTTGTAATCTGCGTAATATGTACATACGTGCTAAGTGGCGAATCATTTTTTGCGGTTTTGTTCTACAAGCAATGAAACAATATTGAAATTCGACTCCTTGTCATTTGTCAGGAGGAAAGAATCTCGAAAGCGAATTTTTTGCCAAGTGGACTTCTGAACTCGCAGTTTAATTGCCACACGTGTTGAAAAGATGGCGTCTATAATTCTTGCGACGCAGGTATCATTGCGCTCAAACAACCAACTAAAAACTTAGCTGAAACCAAGAGACTTGCTGAAACTAATAGCTACGAGCTTTATAGCAGGGACTGATATAAACGAGCAGAAATCGCGGTCATTCTGTTCCCGCCCAGTCAGATCAACACTTAAATTAGCTAGTGAAATGGCTGTTAGGGAATTCAAGATTTTATCTAGGTTTCGCGTGCGACCGGCGGACATAAGGAAATGAGATTATAAGACTCCCGCACACTCACTCGGAGCGAAATCATCACCAATGTCTTCCCAAGTGCTCTCCTCGTAGGATATCTATATACAGCAATCACAAAGTTAAATCGTCATACCTTGAGTGTTTTGCCAGATGACTGTTATGCAAGAGTATTTTTCTTTTTTTGCCGCGAAATCCGCGGGAATCTTCGCAATTTGCGCACTTTGCGCACTTTGCGAATGGCATAACATCTGGTTTTGTAAACACAAGAGGTTTCCAGATTTTTCCACGTGGAATTGCGAAAAACTTGTGAAGAACTTACAGTTAACCATGAAAAGGAAACTGGTATTTGGTGCAACACTATGTATAATCACTTTTTCTTTCTTGTGGACCGTAAACGAAGGAATGATCGGTGCGGTCCCTATTTAATACATACTTAAAAAAATATATAAGTAATAACTGGAAGGCCTTGCTGAAAATGTCAATTTATACCACCTGGATAAATCAGTTAACAACCGAATTAAATGTTCATTTGATTGTGAGCTTGTTTGACGAAAACAAATATTTTTAAAGAATATTTTAAGCTCATCAAGTTTATTAATGAAAAGCGCAGCTATTGACATTTTATCCCGCTAAACGTTTACAGCTGTCCTTGTTATTTTAATTGTGAGCATTGATTGCTCATTTTACTATTGGCTTTGATTATTTACCATGTTCACTGCTATTACGCGTGATATTCTCTGATACGCCAATACTTTAAGAGTACAAGGAAAAGCTTGTGACATGCGTGTGATGTTTCCCCTGTGTCTGTCTTCCAGAAAATTCACACAGTTAAAGATCTTATAACTGAAAACGTGTAGGGGCTGTGAACTCATGGTTAGTGCGCTCGTCTCCGAATCGAGCAATCCGGGTTCGAGCTCTGGCCTAGGACATTGCGTTGTGTTCTTGGGCAAGACACTTTACTCTCACAGTGCCTCTCTCCACCCAGGTGTATAAATGGATACCGGCGAACTGAATGCTGGGGGTAATCCTGCCATAGACTAACATCCCATCCAGGGAGGAGTAGAAATACTCGTAGTCGCTTCATGCTACAGAAACCGGCTCCGACCTGATGGGCCACTTGGTTCGTATGCAGAATCAACCTCTTACCTGACTGAAAACTGATCAAAATGTCTACAACAGAACATAGCTGATAGAGGGGAATGGTTGTGAACCCGGCAAACATCAAAGGAGCAGACATAGATGCCAAGATTTATGTTGGAAGGTCCACGACTGTGCACAATCTTTTGTTATGCGTTCATACACTACGCATGAGTTACGTAACCTAAAAGTTTCTAGTGGTTACTTCTTCGGTCAGTAATAAACAACTATTGTGTTTTGTGCAGGGTCAATGCAAGGCCAAAAAAGAGAAAAAAACATACAACAAAGACCTTTGTCCAGTTACATAACCATTCCCCTCTATTTACTATAAACGGAACAACTTTCAAAAGATTGATTTACAAACGACGAAGATGATTTTACTCAGAAAAGGAAAAGAAAACGAAAACATTTAAACTATTGTAGTTTATCCGGGAAGTCATACAACAGATGTTTAAAATTGTTAAAAGATATGAGTTGCATGACTCGTCATGAAGTAGATAAGAAGATGAGTGTTGAGGCATGCTATTATGTTGCTTTTGTCTTGCATGGACGAGTGAAGATATGAGCTCCAAAAAATGAAAATATCAGACATATTGGCGAACTGCCACGCATAGGTAACACTATTTTGACTAAATGAAGTTATCATGGCGACCATGATCTTATGCCCTTGGTATTTCATCAAGCAAGGTTCTAACATAACCTAATATGGCCAAACTTTACTTCTCAGGGCTAGAATGAATTTTCAGTGCCACATGTCATCCGGTAATACAGGTGTTACGTAGAAGATTCTCAGTCAATTACGTGGTCAGCAACTTACCTTTGTTGTACGGCTCCCCAGGTCATCTATATGTTCGACTGTCGTTATTGGCCAAGCCGTTTGGCAAAGAACGACAAGAGATAGAACATTATTGAAAATGCATGCTCGAGTCAGTGAATCTTGTAGCATCCTGTAATGATTGACAGTTACAGCAATTTCCGGTTATTCACTTCTTCCGTATAACATGAAAGTACCTATGTGACAGTAATTCATGTGCAAAGAATACTGCACGTATTGGGATTGTATTTCTTCAAAGACATCATCATTTGGGTGTAAGCCTTAGTGTACTGCGAAATTAAACAGGAAAAAACAATGTTTTGACATTCACATCCGTCAAGCTTCAAATAAGGAATGTTGTCTAGCGTCAGTTTCAGTGAAGGCCGAGGCGATCCACTGACAGAGAAAAGTAATCTGTACCATTCACTGTGTTATAAATGTCTGCCCTCCTAATTATAATTGAGTCGTCAAACAACTGTTAACAATTGATTTTTTTTAAAAAATAAACGTGACTTAAAACTATGCGCTTTCTTTCATTTTATAAGCAGCACAACATCAAGAAGAGATCGCTTTACGAGGAAACCTGCCCGCCGCCATACATCATTGAGGTGACGGAACAGTGCAACGATTCCTGTTTCGATGACGACTACTGCGTTGGAAACCAAATGTGTTGTTTTGATGGATGCTCGTATGTGTGTATGGACCCAGTTCCCTCTGTGCCAGGTAACCACAGCAACATGTTACCTTGACGCGCGTTCATTTCGCGCCAATTATTTCGATTATGATTGGCTGAACTCATGATCATTAATAATTTTGTCATTTATTGAGCCAAGCACAAGTCGGAAGGGCGGTACAAGTTCATTGCGGACCTATTTGTATTAGTAGTAGTACATTTCTGTAGCATATCGCGTGTTTTTCTGGTAAATAAAGGTTGAAAATATATATTTTGAGCTAACTTAGGTGTTTCGTTTTTGCTCCTAACATTAGTTATTGACTGGATTGATCAAGACGAGACTATCTCAGGTGAGTCTCATTTCTCCAAAGAGTTTATTCGACTCCCTTTAGTCCGTTTTCTAAAAGCTATAGAATATGTAGCTTGCCCAGGTAAACAAAAAAAAGTTTACTTACAACTATCGAAAAGCTGGGGATATTCCCCAATTTTCATAAGATCCCCCGTGTTGTGAAAAATGTTTGAAGGATAATAAACACGACATATAGCCTTCATGTGACTTTCAAAGATACGCTCGGATATTTGTCCACGGACATTATATGTTGCTCGAAGCTCGCAGTTTTCCTCGAGCGACGATCGCCCTCGGAAACCTGTTTGCTTCCCGGAACAGAGAATGCCCGCAGACAAATATCCGAGGATAATTTTGCACCAAGTGAAGGCTATTATTTATGTACTTCATTCACACCAGGGTTAATACACAGACTTCAAAGTTATCTAGCCACTTATGCCAACCGAAAGATTTTAAGTTTGCGCAAGATTCTAAGCTTGAGTATGTAGCTTAACAATCTGTTTTTCTCAACAGAAATAAGAGCAGAACAATTAGAGGTGGTGACGCCCATCGTAGAGGAACTTGGTAAATTAATGTTTCATCAGCTTAATTTATTTCTTTTAGTGCCTTTTTCCTCGTCTTTCACGTAGTATCAGCCTTGCATTCAATTGTTTGTCACCATGTTTTTTTTTGTTTGAGATCTCTTATAGATCCTACGTTAGCAGCGTTTTCCGTATGTCGTCCCCTGTAGTTTCTGGTTTCTTTTTTTCTGTTTCAGTTGGATAATTTAAGATTCCAATTTCTTGCAGGCTGTTATTATCATGGCATGACGTTAAGCGACGGCGAAAGAATTCCTCTTGGCTGCAAATTATGGTAAGACACGACATTGTTATTTTTGTCGAGGTTTGTGATGTTATTGCCTGACATGAACTTTAAGGTAAATGTGACCACTTTTTTGTTTGATTATTTACAGCTCTTGTTTCAATGGTAATCTCATGTGTGACGTTTCAAACTGCAACAAAGGTAAGGACGGAAAACAGACCTCCCTAAGTGCATCTCCTTTCTGGTTCATGAGTGCTGTTGATTGTTTAAAAACAATGATAAAAATTAACTTCACATTTTAGCATGCTGCCTTGATAATTCACCAAATCAGAAGGCAGAATCGAGGAAAATATAATCTTATTTCTAGCTTACCCACATGAGTGAAACACTTTCATTGACATTGCTTCCTTTTTCAGAGTACCAAGCCCGCCTTGCTTTAGAGCGCAGCGGCTCGGGGTCTGGAGACGATGAAGATGACGATGATGATGATGGAGTGAAAGGCGAAGGATCTGGGGACGACAATTGGTATCAACTAGAAGGCGTGAAAAGCAAACAAGACTTCATTCCTTTTGAGGAACTCCATAAAAAAGAAAACAGTGGGGTTGAGATGAAAGAGGGTTTTATTCCATTTGACGCAGATCACAGCGGTATTGAACAAAGTGGTGAGGAAGACAACAAACACCATGCTGTGGACAGAGGAGAAAATTTTATTTCATTTGACGCAGATCACAGCGGTATGGAACAAAGTGGTGAGGAAGGCGACAAACACAATGTTGAGGACAGAGGAAAAAATTATATTCCATTTGACGAGGAAACGGACAACGCACAGAGTGGGGATAATGCCGCTTATTTTGCTAGAAGGAGACTCTAGCGAGTGTCCGGACACAGTCTTTATCGATACGTGTCACACAATCTATATCGATAAGTGTCACACAATGTCAGTGTCCAACAAGTAACAACTCGTCACGAGTTATAAGTAAGCACCTTCCTTGACACGAATACCGACTTGTCTAACCATTAAATACACAGAGGAGTGCGTGACCCTAACGTCACCAAGAACATGACTTCAAGGCAGTGCAGAGTGTTATAGAATAAAATTTTATAATTGAAGCAGTAAGGTAACGTAAGTCGTGTCACGGCCTGTAAATAGATATTCTGCGAGAGAATTCAATGTACATATTCCAAAGAAATCGTAAATTACAGAGTATGCGGCGTATCGCATATTCAGACACTGTTACTTTCCGAATGAAACCCTAGTATAAAATCCACATACTCAATGAGGTGTACATATATAAAGTATTCTTTGTAGTTTGGTTCTACTCGTTTATAGGTCTACCTGGTAAGAGCAATACTAAATAAAAAGACAAAGGTTCAAGAAGTTTTTTCTCTTCTTTCATAAAAATGTGGCGATGTTTTTGGATGTTTTTGGGTTGATTGAACCTTCTCCTACAACTTTCAGTGTAAGGAACGCGGCTCACAAAACAGCTGAATATCGAGCATAGATTTGGTTTCCTTAGCATGAATTGACCACTAATGATGGTATGCTTGCCATCATTATGAAATAAAATTAAATAAACAATGGTTTGTAAAGCTCCTCCCGGCTCAACCCAGTCTCCTTTGCAGCCGTTTGTTTTGGATGTCACGCAATGCTCCCCGACTACCTCCGACTGGGCACCTCCTCCCCACTCTCCCCTAGTATTTTGTGTGATTGTCACCGAACTTCACCGGATCGAAGGCTCTGTAAGATTGAACACATGGACCCAACTGTAGTATCTACAGCAGGCCACTGAGGCTTGGAACTCCAGCTACACACAGTCGTAAGAAACACACGGTAGAGAGACCCTGGGAACGAGGAACACCCTATCCGCTTGGTCACATGACACAGGAACTTTGACACCTCTTCTGGATCCAAAGTAAAACACGCAAGCGTTTGTCTTTAGTGAGCGCTGAGCGTAAGAAAGATGCAGAAAGCCATTCTGTGACTAACGCAGGGAACCACGATCAGGAAAACAATGGCATAAACAGTGTGCATTTAGTACACAGTTGACCTTCGCGCTGGTTGTTCTATTTGTTGCTGCTACAGTACACCGTGCTGTCGAGACCCAACCAGTCGAAACAGCTGTCTTGGCTTTCAGTTTGGACTCTATCAGGCCGTTATCTTGTTAAATTTTTCTACGTAGTAATCAGCCTTGCTTCATTGTTGTTCTATCCCAAGCTGGATGTAGTACTAGTCATCTGAGAACGGGGAGACATATACACGAACGGGAAAAAACTTGCCGGTCCGGAATCGCTTGGAAGCTGGCAGACAACCGGAAAATTATACAACAAAGTATCGAGGTGAGTTGACTTTTTAAAATGAAAGAAGACATCGTAATTTTTAGCTTTTAAGCGACACTGTTGTGTTTCCATACAAACCCTTACATTAAATTCAAACCGTTAGGGTAACGTCACGTTTGTCCTTCTAACCGCATGGGATCATGGGATGTCTGTTTATACTCGTCACACAATCTCTAGCAGTACATAACGTATTGCGGTTGTCATTTAGCGAGATAATTACCCCCTTGTAACTGTATGACACCAAAAAATCATTCGCTTACGAACGCGGATTTCTTTCTTTCTTTTCATGCTATTCGCGGGGAAAGGAAGAGCCTGTGAAGAGCCTGCTCTTAGGTTCCAGGATTTCTTTGTCTCTTCTCATCACCGTGATGTCGGCCTACCACCCCCTGCTTCGTCAATCTTTTTGCTCGCGCTCCAACTTGCGCGCGGCCAGAGTGCGAATAAAAAAGCTTGCCACGCTGGCTAGTAGATCACATTTTGTGTTTGTTCTGTTGAAACTATATTTCAGAACACTACCCATTTCTAAGAAACTTTCGAAACCGGAAAAGAATTGAAAGCGAGATATTTACGTCACCGCTGGTCACCGCCTTCACTTGTATTGGTAGTGTTTAGCTTGATGATATCATTAAGAGCTTCTTCAAGGTAAGTCGGGGGCGTTTTAAGCATAGCTTAGCATGATAAACACGCACAAATCATGCCAAAATTTTATAAAAGGACGTAAATTTCGCTTAAGTGCTCGCAAAAATTTTCTTCAATAATACTGTTCAGCCGAATACTGCGGTTAACCGATATGTAAATTTCCTTGTTTTTCAGCATTCGGCGTTAGCAGCCTTTTCCTATGGCTTCCTTCGCTGGGAAGGTCGCAACTTTCGGGAATTCGCTTCTTTGTGTCGGCTAAAACCTTCTCCATACTTTATATCTACGCCGACACAAATGTTTTGACTAAAATTTTGAGGAAGGAATCAGTCTTGGTTTTATATTACGTCCAAGCAGACTCTTATATAGTGCGAGTGTAAAGGTCACCTTAGCTTTGTACAAACATTGTTACCGCTTGCTGTATGTTTTTTCCACTGTTTCTAAATCTTCTTAGACAAATTACGTTTAGCTCGCTACCGTAGTTACTTTCGAACCTGAGCCGTCGCTGCTTTCTGAGTAGGACTGTAACGATTCCTCGAAATTTCAATTGTTCTGATTGTGACCATCCCGTTCGATTCACGAATCTTTGACATTAGATTTCGATTTCTTTTGATTCAAAAATTGCCTAAGCCAGATCATGTTTTTGCAACTTTCCATAAAGATGCTTTGCCCCAAAACTTCAGCAAAACGAATTATGAATTAAGTTAAGTGTGTTTTGATCGAGGCCGGCCAGCAATTAATTTTGCGTACGCCATTTTGCTAATGAGTGGCGACAAAGTACTTCTCTTCCCCCTCNCCCCCAAAAAAAGATATTATGAATTTTCAACATGGCGTCAACGTCGAAGAACCAAGACTGGTGATGTAGTATGAAGTAAGAGAAAAAATGCAAAATCGAATCGAAATATTAGTTTCCGCACGGAAATATTCTTCAAGGTCAGGGAAACGTCTGGCAATTTTACTAGTATTTTTAGTCAGGGGAAATTGACATTTTAAAGTAAAGTCAGGCAAACTTGAAGTTATAACACCATTAATTTATTTGATACCATTGAAGGGTTAGGGTTAGAAACATTTCGGGCCACTATGACCTCAATGATGTTTTTCCTCAAGGAAGAAGGCAAATTTGTTGAAACATTGTGAGATCTAAATAAATGGGCGAAAAGAATGGCTGTAAGGGGAGGCCACTACTATATCTAGTTATTTGGTCAGGGAAATCGTATTTTATCAGAAAACATTCAGGGCAGTTTGAAAACTGAATATCTATGGCAACCATGAATGTTTGTAACAAATTTACGTGTAATTGTTAACAGTAGAAACTGGCCATGGCTTCCGCAGTACCAGCATTTCCTTCCACCAAAGAAACAACTAACTACGCCAGACTGTGTCGGCTCCTGGTAGATGTGGGCTCACAGGTCCTAAGAGAAACCTTTGATAGAATACACCCCCCAGCAAGCCTTTATGTAGCTTTGGCAAGACCTGCAGTGCACGCTACACTGCAGTCGTTACACAGGAAAAAAGTTCTTAACCCTACACAGTGGAGCAAATTGTATCCGGCCATCGCATCTTCAGTTTCATCAAGGGACTTTGACATCACGTTACTGATGATACTGCTGAGGAATATCTGTGGTATGATTCCTCCCATAACTGGCTGGGATGATCTTCCTGCTGCTACTGATGTCTCTCCTGAGGCTGACATCGCTCGAGTCAAGTTCTACAGAAACACAATTTACGGTCACGCCAGTCAGGCTTCAGTTGACGATGCAGCATTGAGCAAATACTGGACTGACATCCGGCAGGCGTTGGTGAGACTTGGAGGAGCGAGTTATGGGACCGCTATTGATTCTCTCAGAGATGACTGCATGGATCCTGACATCGAGAAACATTACCAAGAGCTTCTGAAACAGTGGAAGAAGATAGAGGAGAACATTCAAGACAGGTTAGAGGACATGGATAAAAAGCTGAATGATCTAAAAGTGTCAATGCTTACTCCACAAGGAAGGACACCTGTCAAAGGTAAGCTGTAAATGATAGAAGTAAAAGAAATGAATGCTTGGCCGAACCCTTGGAAGTATAGGTTGACGTGCACGAACACGACCCAAATTATTAAAAGCAAAAGCAAGTTATTTAAATTACATGAGTACTAGTAAGCCAAACAATTTTTTTGTTTATCATTTGACTTTCAAGCGTTTGTCAAGCCGGTATTTGACATTGCCTTAAGTTCCAGTAGCTAAAGCTCTCATGAGGATTTCAAACCATCCAATATCAGACGCAAAATCACCATGCTGATTTCATTTGTTTAGTTGCAGACCCATTGGACCTTCAGGAGTGTCAATCTCAGTTACGCATGCGTTATAACACCGTGAATCAAGTAAAAATCAGTCCTTGGGACCCAGATGACACTGTGGATATTGATGAAATTTACACCAATTTATCGTGGTTAAAAGATGAAAGAAAACCCACTGGTAAGAAACAAAGGAGATTGGAACACTACACTGAAATATTCACAGGCCACAAGCGCTTCACCAATCCTAAGAGAATTCTTGTGTACGGAAGACCAGGTATCGGCAAATCGACCTTTTCGCAGAAAGTTGCTGTCGACTGGGCGAGCGGAAAGAACGAAACCCTGAAAAGGTTCGACATTTTGCTTTTGATCAAGTTGAGAGACGTCTGTGGAATTCAAGATTTTCCGTCCATGTTAAAGGCTTCTGAAGTACTTGCTTGTGACGGTTCAATTTCCATTGCTAGCCTGTATGAATACGTTCTTCAGAACCAACACAAAGTGTTGCTCGTTTTGGACGGTTATGACGAATACAGTCCCGGGACTTTAAAATCCTCACCAATTCGTGAGATATGGGAAGGTAATCAACTGAGAGATTGCCATGTTGTCGTTACAACCAGACAAATGGAAAGTGAACAGTTGATCAAGTCCAGCCACGTACAGTGCGAGATCAAGGGACTGGATAGCAAGGAGCAGGTGAACGAGTTTGCTGGCAAGTTTATCACCAATCCAAGAGAAATTGAAGAATTTAACGGTTACTTGGACAGCAGAGATCTGTGGGAAATAGCGGAGATACCTCTGCTTCTTTTAATGCTGTGCCTGATATGGATGGACAGACATAGGAAAGCTCTGCCAAAATCACGACTCGCTTTGCATGAAAGATTTGTGGAGACCTTACTATCGCACATGGCAACAAAGAATCCGAAGAATGTGAACGATGGACCTTCATATAACATCCTTGATGAGTACAGAGAAGACCTGAGCAAAATAGGAAAGCTAGCTCTGGAAGGTCTCCTGAGAAACGCGCTTTACATTGATCTTAAAGATGCAATCCTTCAGAGTAGCAGATTCACCGACAACATGATTCGCTCAGGCCTTTTTCAGTTTTCAAAGCTTTCAAGTGCAGATCCTAACAAGAGCTTATTTTTTCTTCACAAATCGATTCAGGAATTCTTAGCTGCATGGTTTATAATGAACAAGGCAGGATTGATGGAAGGAAAGGTGGATTGTTTTGCAAGGATCGATTCATTTCAGAAAGCTTGGCATCTTCAGGAGATTCTGAAGTTCATGTGTGAATGGTCAGAGCAAGGAGCCAGAGCAGTTTTCAGTCTTCTTAAGTTCTTAGGAGAAAAAGAAGGTCTTACGAAGTGCAGTTTTACTAAAACGCCTTCTGTGGACGATCTATCGGGTGACCAAAGAAACTTTCTATATCTTAGTTTGCAATGTTTTTTTAGTTGTTCGTCCTCAACCAAACAAGTTTTGTACCCTCTGTTTCTATCAAATGTTGACGGTGTTGTATTAGTGAACAACTCCCTTGCCGCCCGAAGCCTTGCAGCTGAAGCTCAACTTATTTCTTCCGCTTTACCGAGTTATGTATTCTTTGAGGTCGGAGTTGTTTTCGCTGACATTGCACCCTTACTAGATGCCTTACATGCTGTTGTTATCACATGTTCTGGACTTAGACTTGAGGCGTCAACTTTTTTTCGAAATCATTGGGTGGCCTCTGGATTCCCGAAGTTACATTTCTTTTTAAAGAAACAAGGAGAAACAGTATACTTTTATTTCACTCACATTTCATGGAAATACAGGTTTCCATCAGAATACCTTGAAATATTAAGAGATCTCACAACGGCGCTACCCGAGTCTCAAAAGAAACAGTCCACTGGTGACCATTCAAGCAGTGAAGACAACAAAAACAACGCTTTGAATGTTGCTGAGGACACTGAGGGTAGATCTGATTGCGGGCTGAATTGCTTAGCGCTGGTCATTTCGATAGAATGGGAATGTAACAAAGCGAGTGACGAGTTATGTGCTCTCAATGGGGTTTTGTCTGCTGTGGCCTTTCCACGTAGCGTTGAAGTAACCCAAGCACACTTTCGTTTGTTTGATGCTCAAGTGGTGAAGGATGTGGTCTCCCATATCAACATAACTGACAATCTTTATAGGTTGCAGCTCAAGAGGCTGAACATGACGGCTGACGATGCAACCATCATCGCAACATCTCTTCATCACGCCCATAACTTGCATGAGCTGGAGTTATCAGACAGTCCATTGTACGGCAGTGTGAGTTATCTGGCTGAAAACCTTCACCATGCTCTACGGCTGGTTGACTTGGCATTGTTTAGAGTCGGTATGGGGTATCAAGAGTGCATATCACTTGGTACTTCACTTAAACATCTACCACAGTTACAAAGACTCAGTTTATCATACAACTTACTTGGTGACGGGATCACTAAGCTGGCTGAGCACTTCAGCAGTGTTCCTCGTCTGAGGGCACTGGGGCTAGGCGGAACAAACATGGGTGAAGAAGAGGCAACTTTCCTGGCTCATTCACTGAAGCATGTATCAAACCTTGAGGAACTCTATCTAGCTGGAAACCCGCTTGGGCAAGGAGTCAGCATTCTTGTACAGCATCTCAGAAACCTCCCAAATCTGAGGAAACTGGATCTTAAAGATGTTGTGATGACAAAGAAAGAACTCGATGACGTGACAGCCGCAAGCCGAGAAAAAAGGATTAAAACCAGTTACCATGTAAGTATTTTGTTTTTATTTCATTTAGGTTTGGTCAAAATTTAGATTCTTGTACCGATAATCTTTTGTAGAACGGGACGCTACTTCAAAGTAATTCGATTTTATTCGATTCTTCTTTTATTTTTAGTGAGATCTGTGTAATCGTCATTTTTCATTAGTATAACTATTTTCTATGAAGCACTGAACTTTTATCGACTTGAAGTTGTTTCAAAAATAGCTAAGAGTCCCGAAAAGATTATTTAGAAACTAATAAAGTCAAGTCAAGTTATAAATCGATACCTTTACCATGAATAGTCAATCTTGAATTTAATTTTTTTCCGCAATGCCTTCAAATAGTAAAAGCCACCCAAAATAATTTTCTATTTGTCTCGAGTCATTATGTCTGTTCAGTTTGAGAATCACAGATTCCTAAGAAACGTGATCGATTTGTAAAGTTTTGCACCAGCTTTACAAGTTTCACTTTGGTGCTCTGATTCATGCATGCTGTACCTGATTGTTTGTACTGTTTATTGTCTGTATAGGATCCTCAAGGTAACTTGAAGCCGGAGCGTGTCTGGCCGGTGATTGAACCTGCTCCGGATTATTTATTTTCTCCAATGCTTGGAAGCCATAATGATGGCAATTTGTGCCTGTGTTCTATTGGTGCGCGGTAGAACAAAAGCATCTGATTAGATCTCGACCATCACAAGACTAACAAACATCTCTTTAAAACCGTAAGGTGATAAACTAAGTATCTGTTCGTTCACACTAAATTTCAATCATCATCAATGTGAGCGTTTGCAAAGTGGCATTAGCATAACGAAATCTTTTATTCCAATTGCAACGAAATTTAAGTATTTTATTATCATTCTTCACCAGCCGATCAAAATGACAGACACCTTGGTCATGTGACGTGATACGATCGTTTCGTAAAGTATGGTGGAACTCCTGGTATGATGTAAATATTTCTCGGACTGTAAATAAATCAATGTTGAAAGCAATAGAAATGTCTAATCCCTGTTGCGAAGACTGTCATCTATTCCTAATGGGAAGCAGTCAGTCGGGGTATGATGAAGTTAACAGGCTTCAGTAATCTTAGACTAAGAGTAGTCCCTCTTTCGCTTAGTCCATCGTACGAGGCGCGAAACAAAACATGGCCGCGCGAAATCCTGGGGGCGAAGAGCGCCCAGGATTTCGCGCGCCCATTTTTTTTTCTTGCAGTTTTCTTCCGCGTCACGCACGACGGACTAAGCGAAAGAGGGACTATTCGTAGTCTACAGTAATCTGGGCGGGTCGGGAAGGGGAGAGAGTGGTACTTTGAAACTCACGACCTATCTCCTGGGCCCGCTTCTCAATTTAGATACCTCGTCAACCAAGCCGGAAACACCTGTAGGAGGGCGGAACCAAGGAAAGGAAAAGTACTATTTATTGACACATCTCAATTTTGAAGTTATTAGGGGTTCCCAGTGTGTCCCGACTTCGCAAATGTAGCTCAACCTTAAAATAATCTAATGGCTTTCTGGTGACTCTCAAAACTATTGCTTCCCTAATGGTGCCAGATAGCTCTTTACTTTGTATGTTTTGGTGCGATAATAGCCCAATTTCGATATATTAAAATTCTAACTTGGGTCCGAGGCTGGAGGGAATAAAACAAAAGATCATTATTATTCATCCCTCGACCTTGATGTCGTTTGTTTTGTTCCTCGGAGCCAAGTTAGAATTTTAATATATCGAAAACGGCTTATTGATGATTGTTTTCTAAATCTTTTGCTGCTGCTGATCTCAAATGGCCACACAAGCTCAGAAATGTTTATTTTCAATATTTTATTGTCACGTCACAATCAATAATCACTCTTAGTACTTACATCAAATAAGTTAGACGTGCTAGTCCTTGAGAAAGCAAGGTTAGAAATAAATAAGCACGTTTAAAAAGCTATCTTCAAACGAAACAAAGTTAAAAGCTTCTATTTGGTTTTTCATAAAAATCATTTTTCTTTTAATAGTTGTTACAATCGAGTCTCACTCCCGAGGCGTTATTTGGCTGGTCACGCAATGCATAAGTGACGTGTCAGAACATGGGGAATAGACTTCAGTTTGCAAAGGTTTCAAAGCAGGGACCATACACGGCATGGAAGTCGCATACAAATATATTACTAATTCATCTACCTAGCGTCAATATTAAAATTGGTTCCTATTCTAATCAACATCTGCTGACATGGATAAAACCGATTGAATAAAAGAACAGAAATTAAGAGAATGGCTAAAAACCCGAATCAATAAACAACCGAGATTTAGTTTGGTTTACCCTGAGCTGGTGCTCCAAAGTCTAAAATTAACAAAACAATCCGTAAAATGCAGACCCTTTAAAATCAAATAAGAATGCTAGCGTTTTCAAAACACATTGGACACGCAAAGATTCCTAAAAAGGTGATAAGCTATTATACGTTCCGCCCTAAATAACAGCCACACTTATAACACGACACGAACATGTCTTCAAGAAATAAACTGTGAATCCCTAAAAAGCCCCAGATTAAGGAAAAAAGAAATTCAAAATAAACTGTTCATGTAGTGGACTTTCTTGTCTTGCGCAGAGGGCTTACTCCGGGGGTTGTTCGGCGAGATACCGATGATGCAATCGGAGTTGCTCGGCGGGAAGGCGACATTCCCGAATATGCCGGAGTGCTGGTCGCGATCTTGTCGCTCGGGAATCGTACCGGAGGCGAGGCTGACTTGGTTCGGCGCATGGGCGAGGTGGAGAAGCTCGCATCCACGGAGTCTTCAAGCTTTTGTGACTCGCGTTCAAGGACCGAGGGTTCATATACGGTGTCACGTGCTACGGTGTGAAGAGAGTCTTCCAGTTTACCACGAAGGTCCCGGATTTCGTCTGATTTCTGCGCAGTGCGCGTAAGGTAGGACTGCTTTTTTTGTAACTCCTTGGCGAGCTGGTCTTTTAAGGTAGCAACCTGCACGGAGAAAACACAAAGAGAGTCAATACATCAGTCTCTTGTTTGAGGACAACAGTCTCAGAGTGAAGTAATTGTATTCAATATTATCCCAAACGAAGCTTCATAAAGCCCGTTTACAGACTGTAAAACACACAAGTCTTCGGAATGTATTTGAAGTCTTGAATTATTCAGTAACTTCTCAGAGACCTCATTGTGTCCCCTGACTGCTGGAATTTTCTTAGCTTTCGACAAGTGTCAAGTCTTTGATGATCAATCTTCGGATACAGCAATAACAACTCACTTGTTCTTCCAGGCCCTTGACTCTCTGTTTGTGTGCTCGTTCTCTTGCCACTTGCGTTTTCTCCAGTTGGCTCTGAGACTTGTTAGCTCGCTCGCTTTCAAGTTCCACCTCTTGCCGATGTCGGCTTGTCAGTTCAACCAGTCTGTGTTTCAAAACAACAAATCAAAAACATCAGGAATCAGGTGGAAAATAACTTCTGATGAATAAGTCAACGTCCTGGAATGCGTTCGCAAACACAGAGTACATTTTCTGGCATAAGTGTTTAGATAGAAGTCCAGAATGTCTTCGATGAGACAGTGTCATTGTATCAACCTGCTCCTTCTCTAGGAAACTTGAGGGTCTCGAGGAAAAAAAAAAGAACTCGCTCCTTCCCTTGCAGTAAGTCACTGGGTTGTTTACCATTTACATGGAGAAGTCGATTCGTAAACGGTTTGTGCACATGGTAAGCAAATAGTCCCTGATAGTAAGTTCCGATCGGATTTGGCCATTAACCATTTACTTGACAACCTCAAATTTAACAAGAGAGCTTAGGACGAGTTAGACCTGATCATAAACCAAAGATGGCTGTGAATAATTGCAAATAGATATTGGAAATTTCAAAACGTTCCGTTCATTTCGGACAATTTCCGGTCGGTCGGGCCAAAATTGTCTTCCATTTACATTCTGGCCAAAATTTTCGGGATTTTTAGGNTCAAAACGTTCCGTTCATTTCGGACAATTTCCGGTCGGTCGGGCCAAAATTGTCTTCCATTTACATTCTGGCCAAAATTTTCGGGATTTTTAGGTTAATAGTAAACAACCAAGAGTCTTCATCTTTCCATGCCACTTTTCAAACCTCTCTCTACCATGACCTACTTACACAGTCGCTACACTTACTTTTGTGCATGAGCATGTTCGGTTTCAGCAATTTGTTGTTGTAGGGCTTGAATAGTTCTCTGTAACTCTTGGTTGTCGTGTTCGTATGAGCTGCTTGATCGGTCCAGCTTGTCACGCTCGTCACGCAATCTCGTGCTCACTTCTTCTGCCTCAAGTTTCTCACGCTCGATCTGTGAACGTCACGCAAGGAAAAAAGGTATCACTAAACATTTTTAACCGTGATAGTTAATTCAGAGATTCTGGGCAAGTTTTCTTAAAAAAAAGAAAAAAGAAGAAGACCAATATTGGTGTATCAAGCTAGTGCGGAAACTTTTAATTTTGATCACAAGACCTGCAAGCTTTATTCTTACCTTATCCAGGGTGTTCCTCAAAGCTTTCTTGTCTTTTTCTAGACGAACATGCGCTCGTTCCAGTTCCCTCTTCTCTTGCTCGGCGTTGGCCAAGCCTCGCTGGAAGTTCGCCAGACGATCTTGCAGTTCACGTTTCTCCTCCTGTAGTTTGCCAATTCTCGCCACAAGTTCTTCTTCAGCTTCTTTCTGCTGCTGTAGCATCTGCTGTAGTTGACGGATTTGACCTTCGAATTCCATCCGGCGAACCTGCACAGTAACAGAATCGGAAAGTTTAAGTGAGACCTTCTTGCAAAGCTGATCGCAGGTTAGTTCCTTTCAGAAAGGAATTGCATTGGTTATTGGTGCAGCGCTCCAATTTCTCCGATTTCTGTAGCATGAAGCGGCTAGGAGTATTGCCACCCCCTACCCCTAGATGAGATGCTAGTCCATCGTAAGTTACCCTTAGCATTTTGTAAAGTTTCCCCAACAGTCTGTCCGTTTGGACTTCTAGGTGATGGACAGTACCGCGAGATTGGCTGCCGCCTTGCCCAAGAACACAGCGCAAGGAACTCAACCAGGGCAATATCACAAATACAGTCAATCGTTTACCTCAGCATCGGCCTGTTCGTTCTTCATTTGCTGCATGCGATCTTGTTGCACGTTATATCTGTTCTTGGCATCCTGTTGAGCAGCCTTCAGAGCCTCCAGTCTTTCAGCCATGATCTTGCGGTCATGCTCACTGTTGGTAAGCGCGCGCTGCATCTGTTGGAGCCTCTCTTGCAGCGACTGAGATGTGGCATTGCTGTCATTCAAACTGAGTGACAGTTCGGTCACCTGACAAACAAAGATGTAACTGGTTTTAGTTGGGAGAACTCTCGCGAAAGTCAGTGAAAAACGATACTCTAAACGCGGAATCGGTTGCTTAGCCGTTACTAGAACGAAAAGTCCTCGAAGACAGGGTCTGATCTAACCACAAGTTACTTAGTAAATTCTTTTACTAATTACCTTCTCCTTGAAAGCCTGTTCCTCTTCCTCTGTCTTTGCCAGGGCCAGCGTGAGCCTGTCCACAGTCAACTGCAGGGAAGTAGAACGTGATTCAAGTTCTTGCTGTGATCTCATCAGCTGATCGATGCGCTCACGGAGAGCTTGTTTCTCAGCCTCGCCTTCGGTTGACTGCATTCTCAGCCTTTCGATGTCACCTGACAAAAAAGTCAGGTATTTAAATTTAGACTAACTAACCCTAACCCTGAACCCCATCCCAAAGGTAAAGTTCCAAACCTTTTGTTAGTTAGAACAAGTTTTGACATAGGGCATTAAGTATTCCCAACACAAAAGCAAACAAATCGGAAATCTGAGCAAGATCCAGTGGCGGATCTAGGGGAGGGGCCTGGGGGGCTGGAGCACCCCCTTATTTTGGGTAAAAAACGAAAAACTCACAGAAAGAAGAAAAGCCGGCAGGGCAAGCAGAAAAAAAAACCCGCCCCCTCCCCCTTAGCTCAAGGATCTGCCACTGAGATCATGGGGAATATAACCCTAATCGAGGTTGTTAAGATCAAAAACAACATCTTTACTGAACAAGAGGGCAGCACAATCAGTTTCAATGTTCCGTATTTCCGGAATAGGATGGATTTATTCGCTTTTGACGGGAACCAATTTCCTATACTTGATAAAGGGCAATCCCATTCATAAACAGCTCGAGTGGACCATAATTGCAACATTTGATATGCATTTTTATCAAATGAATGAAGACATTATTACTATACACATAGAGAATTATTAAACAACGACTTACCCTCCAGGGACCTCTTCCTGAGCTCAACTTTGGTCAGCCTCGATTCAGCGTTCTCGATTTGCGCGCGCATGGCTTCTTTCTCCTGGTCGCTCTTTGACTCACTCTGCTGGAACTGAGCAACCTTGTCTCGCAGTTGGCGGCGCTCGCCTTCTGCCTGAGCGAGACTGGAGTCCAGTACTGAGATCTTTTCGTTCAATCCTTTCCGCTCTCGTTCCAAGCGCCTGATAGTTTCTTCCTGGAGCATGAGTGCGGTCTGGGCACTACTGAGACGACCGTCAGCACCACGGCGACCTAGAAACAAAATAGACGTTACTAAGACAACCAAAGAAAACAAAAACGTGAAAACCTGACGGCAGTTTGGCGCGGCCATAGTCCCTCTCTCACCTCTTTACTAGAAAGAGCAGCCCAAAAACTCACTAGGCATAAACATTTCTTTATGCCACACATTTTACCCAAATTATTTCAATAATTGTACACAAAAGTAACGACGAAGTTAAGGTTTTTATTCTTGCATGTAGCAACCAGTACATACCTTCTTCGGCCTCTCCCAGTGACTTCTGCAGCGCCAGTAACCGCTGGTCAGTATGCGCCTTCTCCTCCTCCATTTCAGCAAGAGCTCGCTGTAAGTTACCAGCCTTAGCCATGGACTCGTCACGTTCTCGTTCAGCTTCTTTCATGCTCTGAGCAAAGTCCCGCAATGCAGAGCGCACGGTCTCTGGATCAATCTCGCCGGACAGTTCCATTGATTTACCAGGAGAAAGTTTTCTGCTCGGGGACAATGAACGATCCCCTGAATCTACGGTCTCTTCCATGGCTTTCTCCGGTGAACGCGACCGACTTCTGCCGAACATGCGGCGACGGGGACTCGGGCTACGAGCGCGCGTCGGAGAGGGAGTCCTGAAAGTAAATTGGATTTTTATTCGAGGGAATGAAAGTATAATAACAAAAAATCAAGACTGACAAATAAAATGTTGAACATTTTGAACACAAAATTAACACTAAACTATTGATTTGTTACCTTCCACCCATTTCACCAGGTGGTTTAATTCCAAGCGTTCTTCTCAGTGTGGAATGCAAGCTGGCAAGTTTGAACTCCAAATCATTCTTAGATCCTTCCATACGCGCCAACTGCGCTTCTAGACCCGTAATGCGTCCTTCTGACCCAGACAGCTTCAGTTTCAGATCGCTATTGTCTTGGCTGGAATTTTCCAACAGATTTTCCAGATTCTTCACCTTGTCATTGGCCTTCTGTTCGGCGCGATGAGCTTCATCCAGGGCAGCAGAGAAATCTTTTTCTCTGACACGGTTGTCTTCCTCCATCTCGGCGAATTTACGCGTCAGGTTTTGGATTTCTCGTTTGGCGCCTTCCTTTTGGCCATCAGACTCGACCAGTTTCTGTTTCATGTTGAAGTTGTCTTGGCGCAGTTCATCTATGAGGTGCTCGTCCTTGGCAAGTTGATCTTTGAGATCGGAGATTTCTTTCTTGCTCTTAAGGCATTCACCATCAAGCATCTTGACCTGAAAGAATGGACGTAACACAATTACTCCTCACACAAACCCCATCGCTCTGCCAAGGGCACCAAAATTTTGCGAGCGTCGAGGAAAGTAAATTAATGTACATGAAGTAATAAACGACATGTATGGACGGCTTGTGCCCAAAGAAACGTTGACACTGTCTTCCATTTATTTTTAGCACCATAATGCGCGGGGTGCCCCCAAAAATGATGCGACATCAATCACTTGCAAGGAGTTTTGAAACACAGTTCCTTTCTTTCCATGGATGCATACGTTTACACAAATTGATATCACTTTTTCGCACGTCGTAGTTTAGTATGGTATATTCATAGTTACCTGGTTGTGAAGTTGTTGTAATTCGCGTCGAGCTTCCAATCGTGCCTTTTCAACTTCCCTTAAGCTCGCTCTCAGTTCTCCAGCTTCTTTCTGTAGCGCGGCCTTCGTTTCCTCAAGCGATCCAATCTTCTGGCTTGCTTCGTCCAATGTCCTCCTCAGATTGGTCTTCTCTGCTTCACATTTCTTCACCTTTCCTCTCAGTTCGTTGGCAGTCTCTTGCACGGCTTGTTTTTCGCGTTCTTCGTCTTTCAGCTGCCTCTTCAGATCGGTGTTCTCCTTCCGAGCGACTTCGCGAGCCTCTTCGCCTTCTCGGATTTTTCTATGTGCGTCGATGAGCTCCCGACGAACCCCGTCACGAGCTTCTTCCACCATCTTGAGTTGAAGTTTAAGCTCACTAACTTCGCGCATTGTGTTTTCCTTGACTCGGGCTAGATCTTTGATTTGATTCTTTAATTCAGCAGACTCGGCTTGATAGCGGTTGCTAAAACGTACAAAGAGAGAAAAAAAAGAAACAAGTTATGGTTAAAATTATAAACTAACAAATTAAATTTATCTATTAGTGGCAAACATGCATTTACACGTCATTGCTGTTTCTTGTCAACAAACCCGCTACAGTGGACTTCCTCGCTAATTACAAAACCAGATAAGAACTTAAGAACACTCTTAAAGAAACTGGAATACGGAGATCACAGCCAAACATTTTTTCAACCAGTTTATACTTTCAAAATAAACATTGCGTGATACCTTCGCGACTTTACACTGTAAAACGCGGTGATAATGTAAATAGTCCGTCCTTTTGAAAAATAAATATAAATATATTACAATAATATTAACAAGCTGAATTATTCAATATTGAACTGTTTCACTTACTTGACATCTTCAAGCTTGCTTCGTGTGTTTCTTAATTCATTTTGGGCCTGTGTTATAGCTCCCTAAAATAGAAGAATATGAATAAGTACAAAACTGGTTCAAAACTGTATTAACATCAACGTGGCGGCGGAATTTTGTGATGAATCAGAACTGGTTTATCTTCTCTTATTCAGCACTGAAATAGTAAATTGCAGACGTTTCAGGTTTCACTGAATCCAAGTAAAGGAACGTTGTCGGGTGAAGACAGACAGACAGACAGACAGACAGACAGACAGACAGACAGATAGATAGATAGATAGATAGATAGATCGACAGACAGACAGACAGACAATACCTTGTCCTGCTCGGCACGGCTGAAAGCGTCACGCTTGATTCTGTCGATTTCCACGTTGGCATTTTCCAAGTCGTTCTGTGTCTTGTTGAGTCTGTCCAGCAAACTTCCCTTCTCGTTGGCTGCCGCGTGTAACGCCTCTTGTTTCTCGTTTTCAGCCATGAGTAGTTGATCGTCACGCTCCTTTTGAACCAAGGCCACTTCATTCACAAGTATTGCTTTCTCGCGCTCGAGCCTAAACAGAAAGGTCACGCGGTTAGTCAAGTAATAATCAACTTTGAATGCTTCGCCCAAGTTTTGGGTTGAAAAGGCTTAGGTAAGCGACAAAGCAACACCACAAGACACCAACCTTTGTCCCACTTCTTCTTTTTCATCCTTGAGCTGTGAAATAGCCTCTTCCTTCTCTTGATTGGCTTGTATCAAAGAACTGTCTTTCTCTCGCCTCAGTTTCTCCACTTCCTCCTCGTGTTTCTGCTCCATTCTCTTCAGCGCAACCTCGCCATCACGCTGAGTCTGGCCCAGTCTCTGCTCGACCAACTCTTTGTCCTTCAGCAACTTGGCCTCCTCGATCTCTTTTTCTTTGCGCACGCGCTGCAGGTCAACAGTCAAAGCTTCCTTGGATAACAGAAGTTCTTGGTTCTCGGCCTCAAGCGCTTCTTTTCTTGCTTCCAACTTAGTAGCAGTTTGTTGAAGGTCGTACAAAGCCGTTTCCAAAGACTCTTTCTCGCTCTTCAAACTTGCAATGTTCTCGGCTAAGCCGCGATTTTCCCGCTCGCCAGAGTTTACCTGCACGACCAAACTGGACTTCTCTCGTGTCAGCTCTTCTTTTTCTTTTGCCAAACGCACAACATTGGAGCTCTGTCTTTCCACATCACGGCGAGTGGTCATCAACTCATCGTAGATGGAATCTCTTTCTCTGGTAACCTGGTTTAGTGCTTCACTGAGTTCTGCTTTCTCTCGGTTCGCAGAGATCAACTCGGACTCCAGTTTTTCTCGGCTGGCTTCATGGATGCTCAGGTTATGGTCCAGTGATGACTTCTCTGTGTCCAAGTCCACCTGATATAGATAAATGAACAAGACATTTTATTCCACATGTGAAATTACAAAATTGCGTGGCAACGTTTGGCGCTAAATTTCTCGATACAATTTCAGCAAGTCAAAAACCCACGATTGTAAACGTAATTTGTCACCTACGAATTAAATAATAAACACGTGAAATTAGGAAATAATTTCACTGACGTTTTGTCAAAATTTTGATTATTTCTCTCGCCTAAAGGCAAAATTATTTCCTAATAAAACTCGTGAAATTATTTCCTAATTCCACTCGTCACCATTTGATTACTTATACTAATTTGCGACGCCTTTCTCACCTTTTCTTGTTCAACGCGGATCAACTCCTGCCTGATGCTGTTTTTCTCATTTTCCAAATCTCTCTTATCCTGGCTCAGGGACGACTTCTCAGACTCCATTTGCTTGATAATCTTGTTCAGTTCAATCTTGTCTTGACCCAGTCCTTCGTTTAGCGACTGTAATTTCACCAGTGCGTCTCGCAGCGCGATCTCCTCCGACTTCATCTTGTTGATCTCCAATTCCAGCTCGGCTTTCTGAAGCTCCGACTTCGACAACGTCTCACTAACGTGTGCTTTCTCCTGATCCAAGACCTCCTTATCCAACATGGCGCGGGACAGCTGTTCCTTGAGTGTAACAATGTCTTCTTTCAGCGAAGACTGCTTGGTTTCGAGTTGTTCAATGACTTGTGTCATTCGCAGTACTTCCTTTCCTAATCGATCCTTCTCGCGATCTAAGTCATCTTTGTCATCCTCCAGGTTGTCGCGCTGTCGTTGAAGCTCGCTGTTTGCCGCTTGCAGTTTTTCAATTTCTGCTGTCATGTTTTCTAACTGCTCGTTCATGGAGTGACGCATCTTTTCCAAGTTTTGCTTTTCAGTGGCGAGAACATCAGAGTGCGCTTTAAAACGCTCGCGGTCTTGACTTGTCTCAGAGACTTTTTGCCGACTGAAAAGAAAAAACGGAGAAAAATAATAAATATCATATTTAACACAAGCAATTCAAGCCCAGAATCCAAGTAAAGGTTATTTTAAAGAAGCGACGTCACGGTTTGCGCACCTTGAAAAATTTAGCCCAAATTTGTAATTCATGTCAATCTCCTCCATCCTTAACCATCCTTGTTTCTTCATGGTTTATTATTATCTCATTAGTGTTTTTCTATCTTATTAAACTATTATTCTTAAGATTTCCTTCAATGTAGCCAAAATAATTCAAAATACCGTGACTGTGCTCCTCTAAGGGCAACAGGAAGATTCGTTGGACGTGGAACATAATTTAATTCAACAGAAAAAAATCGAGAGCAGAGAAATTTTAGAGAGGTAACGATCAAACATCACCCGATAATAAAAATGCGTTTGTTTTTCCTTACACAGAGTCCAGTTCATCGCGGGCGGTGTTTAGAGCATGCTCCAGCCGTCGTCTTTCATTCTCAGTATCATCAAGTTGTTTTTTAGTTCTCTTCTCGGAATCCTTTGCCGATTCCACTTTGCTCTTCATTTCCTTGAATTAGAAAATGAATACAAAACGACGCAATTATATAATCAATTTTATTAACAATTCTTCGATGATCTCCAGTCTAGACACAACTACTAGTAAATCCTCCAGGTTAATTCCCAGAAACATGGAAATTTGACAAATTTAGTGAGGTTCGTTAGAAGAAACTTCTTGTACGTGTGACAACACGGGTGAGCATAGCCTACCCAACCTCTCCTAGAGGGGCAAATGAACGAATGTCTGGTCCAAATGGCAAATTTGAAATCTCTTACGACATTGCAATTAGTGTGATAGGCAGTAAATGAAGTTAACATTGAGTGGACAAAGTGTCAATGTTTCAACCACTCCTTGACATCCTTATGTTAGTTTTCCTACCTTCCCAGCCAATCAGAGGCAATGAAAATCTAGTAACTAGTGTCCTATGCCAATCTTCAAGTTGTAACAGTGATAATTGTTAGTTTTTCTACTCACCATCACTTGAATATTTTTCTTTTGAATAGCGGAATGTACTTGAGCCAGGGCGTTGTCTGATACAGCAGGCGACCTGGAACGGGTGGGAGATGATGAACGCAAGCGAGCAGCACGTGATGGTGAAATTGGCCTCTTAGTCATGAAGTCATCTTCAGCGCCCTCTAGCAGGCCTGCATCCACCACCTCTATTTCCATGCCAGGTGAGCCCAAAAGTTTGGAAGTGTTGTCAGCATCCTGCCTCACTGCATGCGTTATTTCTTGAAGAGTGCTATGCAGGATTTCCGCTTGTTCTCGCATGGCAGCGAGGCTGGCTTCACTCTGATTCTCCCATTCCTCTGACTGTCTCGCAAAACCACTTTCCTAGACACAAAATAAGAACACTGGTTCAAGACCTACATGGAGCAAGCTGTGTCGATGTTCTGTTGTATTTATCCAGTATTGAACTTGTACAGACAGTGTTTAGTTAACATTCTGCAAGTAACCCAAAGAAAGAATAATGAAATACTTACCAAGCCATTGATCCTCTTCTTTAAAGTTGCGATGGTTTCATCCTTCTCGTTGATCTGAGCTTCCAGTTTTTCTTTTACATTTGTCAAGTCCTTTACCCTTTTAGGAATAAAAAGTTAAACAATGTAAATAAAAGTATTCATAAAAACCTGATGTTTGTTTCATTATGAAATTCTAGCGGTGCTTTCATAACCAGTGGGTAATGTTGAAAGGTTAAGTCTGTATACAAGTGGCCCACCAGGCCGGCACTTATCTCCTGTTTTTATATAGCATGAAGCAACTGGTCAAGAATATTTCTACTCCCCCTGGACAGGATGCCAGTCTTAATATCCCCAGCCAGAGCCTCAAACTGGACTGCTCATATCAGAGTTGAGCATACTAACCAGAGACCAAAGTGCCTCCCAGTCACTGAGCAATGGAAGAAAAGTGTCAGGAATCAGATGAAATTCCACAACCGATCATTGGAAATAAACGGATTGACCCAACTGATCAATCAGCGATTAAAAATGAAAAAAATCTCTTCCAAGCTGGTATTCCTCATGCTGGCCTGGATCAACCACCACGTTTGTTTCATGGGCAACATGAAAACAAGAGAATTGTAAGAAAGGACCTTGGGAACGAAGCTGAGTTTCACTTGATTCCTTGAGCCGATTCCTTGAGCTGCGAGCTGCATTATTTAATGGCTGTTCAGCTTTCATACATGTACATTTGTAATATTTCCAATTACATAAAAAAAGATCTGAAAAATGTCTCTCACAGCCATTCAACAGCTAATTATTTGGGTTTCGGAAGTTACAATATGAGTTCATTAAAAAGACAACACAAGTTTTAATTAATATTTTTATTTGTCAACAATATATTTTATACTTTTTCCACGATAATCAATTGAACATTTCTATATTTGATTATCGCATTGCTTTAATTAAGGTATTCAATCAATGATCTACTATAATCGATGATCAGCACACCACTGTGGAAGCATAACATAAAATTCCTAGCAATCGACCCTGTCCCTGCTTGAATCTTGAATGAATACTTAATTTTTCTTCTGCTAGCACTTGTTAACTGCCTTAGAGACAGACCGTGGAAGGGCAAGTAATACTGCAGAGCTGTCATAATTTTGTAACAGACTGCATGCAACCAGGAGTTTAACAAAGACAAAAGAGTAATTTCTGACAGTCTAGTCATAATGAGATGTTTGTATACATGCACAGCTGTTCATAGCATATCTACATTTGAACAACTGTAAAATAGAAACATCTCTCTGCTGTTCAACTGATGATCTAAAAAGAAAGTATCTCTAGCTTGACCTCAATACTAAACATTTTGTAGAGATTTGACTCACTTCACCATAAGATCAGTCCTTTCACTGTCATATTTGTTCTGAAGCTCAATAAATTCCTGTACTTTCTCACGCAGCTGCTCCTCAGCCTGTGGAAAAAAATGCACAGCAATAAGCAAGTGAATGGTACACCAACGACTTCCATGTGGTACTTAAAGTCACGTTGTACAATGGGGTTATATAATGTATAACATGTCATGTAAATTTGTACGCCACATGTACATGGATTTTGTGTTCAAATGACAGCTTTTGGGCAGAACTTTCATAGAGCTGCTTGTTTTCAATTCTTTTTTCATATTTCGTGGAAAGATTTTCCTACCATTATCTTCAGACTAAAGAGAGGAAGGAACATAAGAAAAATGTATCACACACCTTTTGACATCGAGCCCTCTCCTCCTCCAGTGCAGACTGGGTATTAGCATCCATGCCACGCAGATTTTTGTCTAAATCCATGCAGGCTCCCTGCACAACTCGAACAGACTTGGTAACTTCAGCACGGACACTGGACAGATCCCTGAAAAGATAAAATACAACTCAGTGTTGGATCATAAGATGTCTAAAATAGGGGGGCCCTCCAACAATATGATATGATACAATAACTTCATTTATACATGGTATTTCCATAACTCTATTTATGGTAATGGGCAGGTGCAAGGTAGGGACTATGGTGGGTTGGTCCTTCGAAAAAAAGGGGACTTGCAGGGGCCCCCCTGTAACCCTCACCTAGACACACCACAGCATTTCATGTTGCCATGAAAAACGAGTTTTACCTTCAGTATGTGATACTAAATATACAACTGTAGCTTGGACAAACCTTTGTGTCGCAGATTTCATCTCATTGAACTGCCGCCTGAAGTTGTTCATTGTCTTCCACATGTCCATCAAACGTACATGNACTATATTTATCCACGTTGAGTCTTGTTTAAAGTTCTTTATGAACAAGGGGTACTTTGACTTTTACACATTTCTCAAACATTATAAAGCACAATATACAATGTAATTTAGTTGGGTAACAACAAAACCATAATGAAAACAAATTCTTCCAACTGAGTTAAGAAATGTATGGAAACAGCAAGGAGAATTTGCCACTGAATTTTGAATCTTACCTCTGTTGTTCTTCCTCTAACCGGATCAGAGAGTTTTCTAAGTCACTGGAATGTTCATCCTCTGTTTCTTTAAGCTTAGCTTCTTGTTCTTTCAATGTTTCTGTTGCAGACTGAAGCTACAAGAGAAAGCAGTTTAACTTGCAGTTGAATAGAAATCTTTCATGTAGCAGAAAGACTTTAAGTTACAGTTAATTCATTTCTTTAGCAACAAATTGGTTGAGGGTGGAACAAACACAGGCTTTCAGGTTGCCAACTTTGCAATTCTTTAGCAGCAGCTTACAATAGATTTTCATTGTGTAAATCTTTACATTTAGTTTACTGTGCAACTGAAAGTGACTTTTGCTCTAGAAATATATAAAGTTTCCTAAAATATTTACCACTAGGAGGAGGCACAAATGTGCTATAGTTATGGAACTGTTAGAATTCAAACCTTAATCTCTCAATCCAGATCAGGTCAAACATTTAAGAGATGCCAGGCCACTGTGCCTCACAGCAAGATGTTAAATACTTGCAGAATAAAATGTTTTCAAATCTATAATAGTTTACCTTTTTCTTTACAGTCTCTTCTGAGGTTTTTGACTCATTAACAGATGTCTCTAACTCTCCACACTTGCGTTTATATTGCAGCACCTTCTGCTGCAACTTCTGAATTAACTGAGCCTGTCTCTGCTGTCCGTCTTGATAAGCTTGAAGTTTGCGCTTGTAGTTAGCATGTTCCTCTTCAAGCTTGCTTTTGAGGTAAGAGACTTGCTGGACAAGATTGCTGTCTGTCACTGATTGGTCGCCAGCAGCAAGACTGCTATATCCTGCACTTCCAGGACTGGATCCCCCTTTCATGTAATGCTCCAACTGAAAGAGAACACAATTTACATGATCATCAAGGTGGAGTGTGTGTCTCCATTAGTTCAGTGACCAGAAGCTATGGAAACAAAAGCCAGTCCGTGAATGTTTAGACTAATGAAAAACCTTGAGGTAGACCAAAAGCTTTGAGGTGTGAGACCTAGCTTATAAGCTGCCTAAGATAAAAACATCACCTAAATTAATTTACTGCTGTTACATGCAATTTGTATGTTAATTTCATTATATAAATTAAATTTTCCTGGCACCTTAAAACTTTTGGTATTAAGCCAAAAATACATTGGATAACATAAAAAACACTAGCTAAATTATATATGGGAGATGGTTGTCCTTTTCGTAAAAGTGACATTGAGTTTTACTGCTCATATGTTATTGCCTGCAATTGGTATCCCCTCCAGATTATCTTTCTCTTTTAAGTCTTTATTACATAATTCTCATTACTGGTTGCAATAAATTTCTTTGACACTCAGTTATATACCACATAATTTTTTTTTAAGCTTGAAGTATAGTGACAATTACAATCTGTCCATTTTACCTTCTTAAACTTTCATGACAGTATATTTTGTATCAGCCAAGCACAGGTAAAATAATGATGACGACCAAATCCATACAATGAGCATGGATTACATATGAAATGAAATAATTTGAAATAAAGTTTCACATGAAATAATTTTGTAGAATTTCAAGACCAACATTCACCAGCCTCAGATTTTGCCTTGTTGAGGAACAGTACATGAAGATCTGCATGTCCCATAATTTCTTTGAATTGAGATGTGGTATCCATGGCAAATATTTCATAAATTTCACAAACTGAGCTGTATCTAGGGAGCCTCATTAACAACTTAATTTTAGCATGCAAAGATTCGCCTAAAAATATACCTCATGAATATTTGATTGCCAAGCAAATTGCTTTTTCCGCTAAAGCAGATATAAATTAAGAACAACCTCAGTAACAAAAAAGTCCAAAAAGACATCACAAGAATACTCCCTGTATTCTGTTTTCAAAATTTCTCTTTCTTTCTAATTTCACTCTACGACTGAAGCAATTTATGGCACTTCAGAAATATTGGCAAGAGTTCTTTCTTTAAAACCAACATGTAACACATCTGTTTACTAGGAAACATGTAACAATATCACCTTAACTGCTCCGCTAATTAAAAGCTGTGCAGTCCAGCTTGGGATTACTAATCACCTTGAAAAAGCGCTGTATAAAATAAACATTATGCACGGAGATGGCAGCTTAATGTTCCTAATGGATTAATAGAGTTGCAGATTTAGATGTTGATTTTCAGGTGTCACATTCGTTGACAGAAATGTTTCAGCTAGTTATACATCTCACACTTTTAGTAAGAGGGCAATCGGTGTTGCTTTGTTTTATCTATGCTGGAGTTTCTCGCCAAAGGCACCTTGCACCTCGATTTTTATTCGAAATAAAACAAAACAAATTTACTAAACTCAATTAACACAAAGACAAAATGATATTTATTTGCATGTCAAGTTGTAACAATGGAGAAAGACGTAAACAAACTAAAATATTCAAAACTTTAGCGTCTTTGGGTAGTGTGATATCAAAAGTTAAAAATACTGAAAACTGAAAGGGCTTTCAGAGAGGGGGTCGAAAACTGACATGTGTATACAGTCGAAAGGCAACAACACGTAAGCTCAAGAACTAACTTCTCCAGTTTCAGAAATGAGCCAAGCAATAAATTCCTACTTCACTCGTACGGCCAAACCCTTTGCAAACACGGCTTCTTTAAGCGAGAAGTCAGTTTTTCAAGACTTTATCTCAACTATCTACGGTGAAAGAAAATAAACTTTAATTTTTGGTCGCCACAAGCGTTGTAGATAAGAAGGAATTGAAAGTGACGCTCAGCATGCAGGTGATTTGAGCTTTACACTGAGCTATTATTAAGACTACGTAAAAATCAACGAAAATGTCACAATTAAAAGTTTTTCTTACCTTGTCACTGACTGCCATGTATTTGGAGCCAATTTCATCTCGTTCTGCTCTCGTTGCAGCGAGTAAATCTTCCAAACGGCTTACTTCGGATTGTAGCATTCGCGATTCATCCCCGAAACCCGGAGACGCCATCTTGGAATCAACTGGGGAAATAGATTTCGTCACAATGTCGCGAATCTTTGTTGGAACTGTTGGACTTTTAGCGCCAGGATCTCCGTTCAAATGCTGGTCTTCTAACCTCTGCGGGGAAAAAAGCCAGTTATTATGAATTACGGTCAAATCACACCATGATGATAACGGATATCAGTTTGAACTTGGCTCGTATACTGTAGTAAAGCACAAGATCAGTCGTTCGAACACAAGTTATTCTTCCAGAACACCCTGCTAAATTCTAAACTTACCTTAATAACAGAGCTCAAACCTGGCTCAGGCGAGCCACCTAAAATTGAACTTCTTCCTTCGTAATAACTCATGCTCGCGTATTACAATAAGTTCAAAACGTAGCAAATTACTCGCCGAAGACCACCGTCCGAAATTTCGCGCTTCGATGCCTCAGTGTTCACGATACTTGAATTACAAGTGGAAACCTGTGGTGCGCTTTGCTACAACTACTCTACAACAAGATGGGAAACCGCCAAGCTCTAACGGAAAAGCAAAACTGAAGTCAACTAATCTGTCAAACCCTCGTTCAAAACCCTTCCGTCTTTCTCACTGGCCGCTGCCAACGTAAACTATTCGCCGCAAAAGGTCGGCTGGGTCTAGTCCTTCGAAACCGACGCCACGCTCTCGGCCAGTGGCAGTTGCTATAGAAACACGATGCTGAAGCGGGACGAGTGATTGTTTCGGGCCACCTTCAGAAAGGACATTACGCGAAGTGTCAATATTGCGGAAATCTATTGTATGGAAGATCAGCCCGCAGAAATGTTTCTGTATAAGGAAAAAAGTAAAATCAAAGAATCTAAAAACATTGCTTAAAAAATGGTCAACGATACTGGAAGATCGCCAAAAAATACGCGCTAAAACGGGAAAATGGTAGAAATACGACAGTGATTACATATTCGTAAGGGAAGCTTGTCAACACTAAATTGAATGACGCCGCATTCCAGAATCTCCACAACGAGTATAAGTGTTAAAATGTGTGCACAAGCTACATCATTATGAAATCATCAAACATGTTTTAATATTCAGCTAAGAAACCCGACAAAAATATCCTGGAATTTCGAAGAAAATGGTACAGTAAAAAATTAATACACTTTCAAGCCTCTTCATATTTGTTCGGCATTACTGCAATCAATAACTAATGAACTATAGTTGTTAATTCACCGAAGCAATTAATGAATTAATTGAGATACTACCCATCGTATTGTGTCTTTTCAAACAGGCAATTAAATGACCGCAAATTGTTTGAAGGTAAATTACACGGCGTTCTTTTCAACGTAAATGCTCCAGGTTTCAGAAGTAAAATGATATTCACCAGACGTGCTTTAAAATCCTTATTGAATGTTACGAGGAAATGATATATGGGTCCGGGAGAACCCTTCAAATGTCTATTGATATTGCTGAGTGAGAGCAGCATGTAACACTTTCCGGATACGAAATCAGCTTTGTTGTAAATTTGAATGTTTTTTTTAAATTTCTGGCACTTTTGTTTCGTAACCTGGATCAAAATGTCATGAATGTGTGTAAACCCGCTGTTTAGCGAAAGAGAAAGAGAAAGTTTTAACAATAATTCAAAAACAATTGTAAGGGGCAGCTAAAGCCGACGGCAGGTAGATTAAAGACACTTCTTGTCCTTATTAGTACTAAGTTGTATGGTCAGCGATGCATATGTGAATGTGCGAAACTAAAAAAAAAGAAAACGGAAAGAGAGAACCGTATAATGTTACGGCTATCAGCACTTGGAAACTGTATCTCACTCCGTTGAAAAGTTCAAACATAGTGAAAGAGACGGATTTAAATTACCATAATCGGCCTACTCTAGATTTTCAATCAAATCCTTACCCGGCCTTACTTGTGCAGACTTGACAACAAATGGGTGGAACGATCGAGATAAAACTCCGATCAGGCAGAATGAGAAATCGAAAATACCTCTTTCCTTGCCTTGTGTCGAGGCACCTGATCAAAACTGCCTCAAAACAAAAAGTAAAAATCACATTTAGGGCGAAAATTCTGCAAGTAACGCCACTCCGGAGGCATTTCTATGGAAACGGCTCAATTCTCATTCAACATTGATTAAATCCTGTCAGATTTAACACCGTGAGCATACACAAACGAAATTTTTGTTTGCTCAGGGTAAAGACAGGAAGCTTAGGGTAAAGCCTATATAACGCCGAGTCTGTTGCATGAGTCAGCTTTTGTAGCTCGGCGAGGTAAGCCAACAGTGAACAGTGTACTGTAAACGTTTGATTGTATAACCTAGTAAGACTGTAATTAGTTTTTAAAGGAGCCCATGCATGGTTTCCGGTTATTGGAATCTTGAACTGTGAAATGATCTTCACTTCCTACAAATTTATCGGTTATTTTACCCTACTGTTCTTGTTTCAAGGGCTGATTTGAGATGAATTAATGCAGCTTGCATTTGCTTCTCGATGATTAAATCATACTTAGTGTTCTTAGCAAGTTTAAGGAATTTCTGAAATAAAAACTGAAATCAAAATATTTCACAACCCCCTCATAAATATCATTCGGTCTTGTATAGACCGGCATTTGCACGCAAAAAACTCCTTTTTCACCAATCTAGGCGAAGTGTAACCAATTTTAAAAAAGGCAAGAAACAAGTCGAATCGCGCACAATTTAAACTCGATGCTAATTGGATAATTGCAATTTAAATTAACGCAAATATACATATACAGATCAAAAGTGCAAAATAGAAGTAAATGGAGACAAAAAGATTAAATACGAAATTTTCAGTTTTTCTGACATGACAGTAGCTCACTGTGAACGCTGCATGTGATGAATTATAGTGATATTTCAACCTGAATTCTCAAAACCGTCCATGGCCAACACTAAAAGACCTGTGCGATACTTTTTCTTTAGAGTTAGTTGTCGAAAGATTCCTGTTTCCAGCATGTAGTACTAGCCGTGTGGTCGTTTCGTTAATCTCAAGTTGAAATTAATCAATTACCAGCATGAAACAACTATATATTACAACGTATTACAAATTGAAAAAACTGCAACTGTGCTAAAGAAATGATTCTCCTGAAACTGAACTAATTTTCAGTTCTAAGTCTCATGCTGGAAGTCACTAAAATAAGTTTGTTTTTTCCACTCGACGACTCAGGAAAAAAAAAACTGTGTAGTTGGCGTCTGTTTGCTTTTGTTTTCTTTTTCTTTGCAATATACAAAAATTCGAAAGAAGAAAAAGAAACCCTTGAAACTCGAGGAACCCTATAGTGATGCGAAGTTTTCTCTTACATGATCAATGTAGGTGATTACACGAAGTCATTCAGTGTATTTGATATTTTTTTCCATTGGTGACAAGGAAGGAAATTAAATATCCATATCGACATGCATTTCATAATATTTATCTCAGTAAATTTATGCAAAATTTTGCATAAGACTGTTCGTTCAGCTTCTAACTGATGACCTTTCATGTTCGCTGGTGCAAATAAATTCAAGGACAACGTTTATTCTCAGAGCTTTAACGACCGGGGAACTGTAGCACTCTCATTACTATATTGTAACTGATCTACATAATTTATAAGAAAAAACAAATCAACCAGAACGCCAGCCATGGCACAAGCTCTCATACAGGACAAATTTAAGTCCTAAAGAAAAGAAACTTAAACGAATCCACAGTCATACCGTGAATTTCAGTATCACTACCGAGGAGTAAATTTCATGCTATTGAGCCATGAGCGGCCAGGTGTTTTGGTTTACAAACACACGAAAAGCACACGAAAACAAATCAAGTGGTGCGTGTATATATTTATACATTTTTAACTTCCCTCCATCACCATTTGAAGTTGGAGGTCGTTGGCGACTATATTTTACGTATCCAGTATCGAAGATTTTCTTGTCTACATTCAGTAATCGCACAAAAACGAAATTTGTTTAGCCTAAATTTCTTGAATTTTCATCTTTTGTTTTCGTGTGAATTAAAGGCTAACACTGCAGTGTAAAATAAGCCTGGGTTTTAAAGCTTACGTGTGATAAAATCAACTCGGCAATACAACTTAGAATGCATATATGAACGATCAATAAATGTATTAATACGCTTTCTAGACTCAAACAACAGAGTTTTCCAATTCGCCTTTGAGCAATACATTCTGTTATCTGGAAATTCTTTTGTTATGCAAAGCTAGCGGATAATCAGACGCGGTTTACACTTTTCTGTCAACTATGTGCTAACTACTTCCCGTGGTCGCAATAAACCCTAACGAGATAGTCAGAGAAGTGTAAACAGAAGCGTGACGAGTTTTATTAATCCGCTAATGTTCTCTTCTTAAGTTTTACCTCAAAAAATTAACAGCGCAAAATCGATGATCGCAAATAAATAATATATAAAGGTTACTCGCTAACAAGGAAATCAGAAATCTGAGCATCGTAAGCATAGCAACCAGCTATATCGACGGTAACCTGAAATCTGAAAAAAGTTGCCAAAAAATGGTTACTCTTTGAAGGCATTAATTGCTGTGCAAAAAGTACCTGCTTTAATTGTTAAAATGTTCTGGTCTTTCCATCAGACTTCATTTCGTAGGCCGTCGCCTCTTGTTTAACCAAAGAAAAAAATATACTAATGAGCATACTTTTTTGCCCGATACGTGAATTGAGGCGTAACATTTTCCTGATTGATTTTCCAAAACAACAGTGGCGTGGCTGCCAGTCTTTCCAAAATATTGAGGCGAGCTTACGATTTACTCTTTGCAGGGAAAAGTTATTGAGTGACAAATGCCGACCCCGTCGACTGTATGTAACCGTTGACAGTCCAGGAATATCGATTTGGCAGGGTTTGCTTCGGTCAAAAGTAGTCGGACAGATACCGAGTTGCCAATTTTAGATTAATCACCTCTACCACAACACAACTTTGATATTTTTTGGGACAAATTAGATGCTGCACGAGAGTGCTTTAAATAATTATGCCAAGCAAGCTTTTTAAATCGCTCAATATGCGACACGTACCTTAATGTTTCGCCCGATCGAGTGATAGCCGATGTCGTCCTCCTCAGATCCACTTGTTTTAAACGCATCACCGTCTACATCTTCATGTTTAGGTGTAAAGCTCAGAGGGTCTTCCATAACAAACAAACTTTGTCGGCTACCAGCCTAGCAAAAGTTACTCCCTCAACTCACACTGCAGTATGATCTTACAGTCCTTTAATCCTCCACACAGGCGACGCGATGGACGTGGGATTTGATTGGTTGGGGCATCGATGTGTTTGTTAGCGCAGTTATTGTAATCAGGGAAATATTGAACGCGTATTTCGACAAGGTCATCTCTGAACAATACTTAATTGGATTCCTCATGCATACGAAAGGATGGTTCTTTGTGGAGGCCAGACGGTTTAAACACACAAACGGACTGAAAGCAAATACTCGAACAATTTGATGGTTATAAATGTGTTCTCTGTAGCAAAGTGTGTCTCCAGTTGTCTACTTAGTCATGGGTTTGCAGCAACTTTTTGAATGTGTAATTCACCATGTTCATGCATGTAAAGTTTGGGAGGTCTTTTGACGGAGAAAGCGCGAGATCTGAACCGTTTTATGCAACATACAGTTAATTGCATTAAGTCGATAGCATATCAATCTGCCTTTAATTTCTAGGAAAGAACGTGACCCAATTTTTCTGTGTTTATTTTTGTGCTTGTATGATATTAACAATAGTTGTAATCGCAAGTCGTGTGCACGATGTGGGTGGTTAGTAAAGCAAATTAAAGTTCAGTTTACTTGAATTGAAAAACTACAAAAGAAAATGTCAACATTCAGTCCAAATTAGTATTGCATTGTCGTCAAAGATTGCGTCAGAAATCGAACCTGGCATCAGGACTATATATAGCTAGAATATGACAAGGCTTGAGTAATTAGCCCTGCCTACCGCTTACAACGTTTGTAAGCTGGCTACTCAAGAGCAACGCTGTTAGTCCTCGACAAAGTTCTCTTTGCAGCCACAAAAACTCCTAAAGAGCTTGCTCGATCAGAGACCACAACTCGGAAGATAAGTTATCCGTGCCCCGTGAATCAAATTGGGCAATAGCCACTTTCTGTAACAAGAAATGCAACTATTCGATCGTCAACCCTCTTTATATCAGTTCCCATGCCGGATCCCAGTGTAGCCTGCGAGCAGACTCTAGTCGGTCTGGGTTTTTCGGACTCAAGTACTAGTCTCTGGGTTTTCGCTTTGGCGCGCAACCGAGTTTAAGAACGACGTTAAGGGAGGGTTAGTGGTGGGGGCTAGAAACTACGTGTGTGTCTCTCGCGGCCACGCTCGCGCCACCAGCTCGCGCCCCCATCCCAAACACGAGAGCCTCCCCTGTCACACCCGGGACGAGCCCAGGGTGGGGGAGGAACCGTAGGCAGTGAGCCGTCCATATATTTCTCCATTCGGTCATGTGCTGTGCCTATCAGTCGAAGGAACTGTAATTACTATTAAGGTTCGATGATGGGTAACGAAAGCCAGGAATGGAATGGCGGTTTTACACGGCAACCCTATATCGGATGGCGGGTGCAAAGGCCGACTCCTGCTGGAGGCTAAGGGCTGAAAGAGAGACAGGTTGAAATTCTACTGCAGGAGAAAAATGTAAAAAAAGTAAACATTATGTGACCAAAACTTCTTGACTTCACTGGTACTTTTCTGGTCATCGGGATCGCCTGGTCCCTAGTAAGACCTGTTCCTCCTTCGTCTCGTCTAAGCCCAAAGAGTCTGGAACGAGAATGACAATTCAAGATGGCGGACGAAACAGAAAAATCTGATCAACAGAGAGTGTTGCGAGTGAATCAGGTAGATCTGGATATAATATTGTTACAGTCTTACTCTCGTGATCAAAACTTTATACAACCGAGTTAATTGTTTTCTATTTTTAGCTGGATGCAGCTCAGCTTGATGAAGAAGTTATCCATCTTCTGCGATCTCAACTGAACAAAGCGTTCCAGTATTTCGAGGTACAAGTAAGCTTATATGTTAAGCTTATAGCCAGCTTTTTCACTTTTAAGTCTCTATACACAACCACAAAAGTATCAAGTATATAGTTTGTAATGCCATCAGCTCTTTCTCAGTTGGAATAGAGTCACATTGATTGATCTCTCGAGTAATCTGAAGGGCAAGTCTAAGACGGGAGTGAGAGGTAGCCGGTGATCCTGTGTGGCATTCTGGGTATCCTGAAGAGCACTCCAGTTAGCCTAAATGACTCTCAGATTAGCATGTTTACAAATAGCTCTCAATAATGGTAATGGAACACCACTTATCCCCTCCCCCCACCTCTCACCCCTCACCCCTCTCCCCTCAACCAGCACCCCATCATCCCCATTTTTGCCTGCCTTAATAATTTCATGTTTAGTTCAGTTGTACTTAATTGCTGATTTTCGTTGCAGGTTGGTGTTCTAACAAAATATGAAGCTGAACTTAATGGACTCCTGAGATTTCTTGTTTGGAGGGTGAGTCATTCTAGATATTCTCTTTTTATCTCCCTTCTCTCTTCTAATACTCTGATCTTGTACAAGTGAAGCTCATTCTGATGGTCTCTCTTCTTCCCCACCCCACCCCCCTCCCACCATAGAGAGACCATGGGAAAAGAGCTATCTTGTGTAGACTACATAATGGGGAGGAGGTGGGGAGGAGGTTAGGGAGGGGGGAGGGGTGTTGTGGGAGAATGGTAAAGTAAAGATGGCTGACTTAATCCTGTAGGCTCCTAGTGGAGCAAAGATGGGTTCTTTATCTATTAACAAATTGTTGGTAAATTGAAGGTGGGCTGTTNAAGACTTTTTGACCCCTATCAGTGTACAAAGAAAGTTGTGTCCAGCAGCCTAGGGCTGGTGGATTTTGCAATAGACTTGGCCAATTCTGTCCTTCACTCGTATGTCAGACAAGTTTCTTGAGAAAATTTTGAAGGAAATTCAAACTGCAGAATTACATAGATTACAGAATTTGTGGGGTAAGCGAGAACCACTTTTAGGCTAGTACGTCACAGTTACACACTTGTCTGAATGGCAGACTTGAAAATTGGTTTTCTTTGCACCCTACACTTTGTGTGAATTATGAAACACTGATTGCTTCATTATTCTGATGTGTGGCAACAAATTGTAACAGTTTGATAATATCTGTTAACAGGAACAAGGAGTTTAGGTTTGTTACATAAATTACTGTTTGGTTTCTGTGTTGTTGGAATACCTTATTTAAAAGAGAGGAGCAGTGAGATCCAAAGACTCACAGACAAGTTTTTAGACTTCAAATTTGTAAGTACTTGTCAGTAAATGTCATGTATATTGTAGTGCATCATAGTTTTGACAGTATATGATTGATCTGTGCCCTAGAGCAGGAAGAAGAGAACATCAAAATTGACAATGTTGAAAAGTTTCAAAGCTTCATATTTGGTTTTGGGAACCATTTTAATTTTATAGTGCTGTCCAATGTGCAGTATTTTTGTTTGTAATAGAATAGCTGATGTGATGGGAGCTAGGTAAGGCCAGGCAGAAGATAACTTGTCTTGCACACTTGCAGTTGTACTAATTTTGATTCCCTTGTTGACTGCAGATTTGGAGATGTATTAATGCTGGAGAAAAACTACTTCAGGCCCTCTCTGTCCTTAACTTCCTCGTATTTTTACAAAAAGGAAAGTATCCTTTTTAAACTGTTCAGTATAAAGCCTGGCCTGGGACTTGCTGCTTTATTTGTGGGCAAGACACTTTTCTTTCACTGTGTCTCTCTCCACTCAGTATCACAAATGGACACTGAAAAGTGTAGAAAAGTGATAGTATAGCCTTCTTTCTGGCATTTTTGTCCCCAGAGGCTGCGCTTCTTTTGGTCGGCACCAAGAATCATGACCACTGGCCGGAACTGATTTTTTGAACATGCACAGAGTATTTGTTTTGTATTCTCAGCCAATCAGATTTGTCAGATTTGAAGGGAAGTCCATGAATTGCAAACCTCTGGTGTTGAACCAGCCCAGAGGTAGTGATTCTTGGTACTAACCAAAAGGAGCACAGCCTCCGGGGACGAGAATGCCTGTCTGGGTGGAGTAACATTGAGTTCCTCTCACTGCTTCATGTTTACATACCAGACCTGAGTGCTTACTGCCGCAGGTCAATGATTCCAGACCTTTTATGTCATTGTTGTTGTTATTGTTGAGTTGAATGGGAGGGCCACAGCGACTAAATGGATACCAAGGGAACACAGGTCCATACAACTGCTCTCCTGGAACTTCAAATTTAACTGTTTTACAATGGCCAGTCGATATCACAAAGTGACTGCCACACAAAAAGGAATGCATACTAGATACAGGTTGTAGGAACCAAGTGTAGAAAAAGTCAATAGGTTATTGAGGTTTGATGCAAATTGTTCATATTTGTCTGTTTTACTACAAGTTATTCCCTTCAGTTACCAACAGCTTAACTATTTTAAGATATCCTTCAGTTCTTGAGCGTGTTCTTGGTATTCACCCAGTATTTGCTCAGCGACAATCAATCAGACAAGTCAGTTTTGAATTTATGACTCGGGAGTTACTTTGGCACGGATTTGCAGTGAGTATCTATAGAAACTGGCTCTGTAATGAAGTTTAAAATGTTTTAAGATTTTGGAAGGTAATGTAACAGATATGCAAAACACCAGTGTATTATTTGTCTAACCCTCGGAGACAACTTCAAAGAATCCGGCAATTCATTTTGATCTCAGGGAGATGAGTTTTAGGAAAATACAGTATCTTGTTATCCAATTAAAAATGTCAAATGTTGAATGGTTATAGTGGTCGATGCGCTTAGCTAGAACTGGCTAGTTCTCCGGCGTGCCACTTAAACTGAAAGAAAGAAATATTTCAAATAATCACAATAGGTTTAAAAATCCCAATTGGTGGGAGGCAGACCAGTTGGTTATTTACAAGTATGACCGAGAGGTTGAGCTAGGGTCTACCGAGAAACAACTCCAGCCAAGTGATCAGAGCGGGACTTGAACCTGTGATCTCCGGATTTCAAAGTCCGGCGCCCTAACCACTCGGCCACACTGCCTTCCTCAGTTGCTTTTTGAGACTGTTTATTGGGCTGAGAGTTCATTAAATGAAAGTAACAGTTATTGATCTTTACGTTAATTGACTTATATTTTCCGCTTTCACAGGAATTTGTCTTCTTTCTCCTTCCACTTATCAACATTCACAAACTCAAGAACTTGATAGTCAGACGGTTCTCAAGTCCGGCCTCTCTTGTCAAGCAGCCGTCAATCAAAGTTGCGTGCCACGAATGTGGTATTTGTAACGAGCCCCCCACTGCGCCTCATCAGGGACAGTGTGGTCACGTGTTCTGTTACTACTGTATCAAGGTAATTACAAATCGTCCACATTTTTCCGTGCTGTACACTCTTAGAGACTAGTGTACTGGAGTGAAGACCATAGACATTAATTAGGTATGAGTTGAACCGGCACTAGTTGTGGGTAGTGGTCTTTCCTGTAAGTACGCGTAAAGATGACAACAGGAGACAAAGAGTCATAGATAAACTATTCGTTCATTTCGTTAAGGTAAGGCAAGTAAAAGGTCTGCATACGAACCAAGTGGCCCATCAGGCCGGAGCTTATCCCGGTTTCTGCAGCATGAGGCGACTAGGAGTATTTCTTATCCTCCCTTGATGGGATGCTAGCCCATCGCAGGTTTACCCCCAGCATTAAGTTCGCCGGTAACCATTTATACACCTAGGTGAAGAGAGGCACTGTGAGAGTAAAGTGTCTTGCCTAGGAACACAACACAATGTCCCGGGTCAGGGCTCTAACCCGGACCGGTCGATCCGGAAACGAGCGCACTAACCATGAGCCCACCGCGCCTTATTCTTTTCATTACTTCTCCGATATTTACTTTCATGTTACTCAACTAGATTCTATGTACCCTGTGATTAGATGAAAAATCAGGGCAAAGTTGTGTCCCGTTCAGAGGGAGCCAGAACACTTACAGAACTGTCAATTGCTTCGTGCTACAGGAAGTAAAGATACAAATTAAAGTTCCCCTGTATCTTAACTGTGTTTCAGGCTAACAGCCTAGCGGACCCTTCCTTCCCGTGTCCGTTATGTGGAGCAGCTGTTGGGGATGAAATAACCCCTGTGGAATGTACAGTCGCTCTGGAAGTAACATGAAAATGCCAGGACCACTTAGAGGGACGCTCCTTTATGAAAAGCACGAGTTATGATCGATTTGCCGAATGACACTCGAGCTGTCAGGCTCCACCCGATGTATTTGTCGGCTGGATAAGTAACTGCCGAGGCTCTGATGTTTCTTTGAACCAAAGCGTAACCTCCTGGATGTAAAGCGACTCAACTGGTTCCCAGACTCAACGTCGATCAACTGAGAAATTTCGCGACGGGACAAGAACGGGATAGAATCTCGAAAAAGTTTTTCTTTACAGACCAGTTTATGGGCTCGTAAAAGACGCGTTTGGTATATTTTAAGGTGAATAAATTGTACAGATGTTCAATCTTCGTTCTGTTTCTTACTAGAAACGCCAAATACCCATGAAATGAGCAGATTATCTGAATTTGTGCTCACCGATCGAAATCCCGTTCCCAAAGTGAATTTACTCAACCTTTACGATGGTCATAATTAATGGTTTATGCATATGTCACTCTGAGTATTCGAGACTTATTATATGACTCAGAAAATTACTTCATTGTGATTGGCTGAGAGCAGGCCAATTTATCGGTAATTCTTAATTTGTACTGCAGTGGAAATTAACGCGTGAGTAATCGTATGAAAACTCGAACAAAATTCTTTCAAATTGCACTCGCCTAAAGGCTCTAGCAATTTTGAGAGAATTTTCAAATATCACTGGTAGTGTAAATCCCTTATTAATTGCACTCGCATTCATACGATTACCTACTGATATCTCGCGTGTGTTGTAAGCCTCTCAAAGGGCGACTGCGTGCCATGATTTACTCGGCACACTCGAATACTCCCCTGTATGTTGTTTAAATACACCCCGAGTAGTCAGGCTGTGCCCCAGCAACCACATACGCTCGAGATCGTACGTAAGTGCGTGCCCATCCCCACTTACGGATTGCCAATACCCCCCCGTGAGTAATACAGTGGAATCGCGATAGCTTGAACCCTCGAATCCTCAAGGATTTATTTCATTGATGCTGATCTCGAGCATCAGTTTTCGTTTGGCTTCCCACTGTATACAAGACCATTTCTAAAGCACCGTGTCGCGGTGGAGATCGTATGGACTTACATAAACGCGCGTTCGTCATCATGAAATTCTTTATTCCGAGCATCTAAAGAAGCCACAAAAGAACAAGCTTCCAGCTTTCCTCCGCCCTTGTGACAAGAAGATACAGAACTGGGCACAAGATCTCCTCGGCTGGAGTTTTTAACCTCGCTTTAGTGGCGAGGTCGTAAGATCAGTGAGTGGTTTTACATTAATAACAAAGTTTTATTCAAAACTGTAACAAAATGCTTTACATGTACAGCAACTGTGAACATTCGATACTATTTGAAATATACCTTCTTTTACAATATTATAAACTGGAGTTAATAATTTTGAAAATTGTTCTTTTCTTCTATTATCTTTTCAAAATAAACGGGATATATATTTCTTAATTTTGTATTTAACTTTCAATACTTTCAATAATTTAACTATAATTATTTTAAGTTAACGTCACAATTGGATGAACTGTACAAAAAGTGAGTTGGATCAAGAAATAACGTAAGAAAATCTGAGAAAGTAGAGAATAGGAAAAACTTCTGACTTCCAAAACTACCTACATAATATATTACTCTTCAATTAATTTTCATCTATGGTGTTGTTTTGGATTGATCATTCGTGACGTAATCGATCCAAAGAAAAAATAGAATGTCATGTGTTAGTCTCCAAAGTCACTTGAGAAAGTTTTAACGATCATAACTTACAAACACAAATCTAGAAACTAATATTGAACCATGCATCGCCTTAAAACTGTTAGTTTCTGTTTACAACCATCAAAATCAGAGGTTTCTTTCAACTTCCCAACTCGCCTCAGCGGAAAATGTAGCATCAGCTAAGGCCTCTGTTCACAAAAAGTGAAGACATGTGCACGTGAAGGATAACATCGCTGGCCTCTTAGTTCCCGTCAATTTTCCAAGATAACGTATCTCCAACAAAAGGCAATGTTTGTGCATGCAACTATCGGTCCATCTACTACGCGTCTAGGCTACTACGTTCTTGTGTTGCGTCTGTCTCGGAGAGTGACTTTGAAGAGTAGGCAAGATTTGTCTGGCCCAGATGACTCCTCAAGTCAATGGGACCCACTAAAGTCCATTCCTGGTTAAGCGCAATCCATTTTGCTACGTAGCGCAAGGTTTTACGCAGCCAGTGGTAGAAGAAGGCCAGTCCTAGAAGAGCCCCCGCTGAGCCAAGCACGTAGAAAATAATACAAGGATTCGACACACATCTCTGACTGCCGTCTTTGGCTATGGAGGCTACGTTCAGCGTCATAGCCACAACAAAGGTGAATAGCCACAGAATAGGAAAAGGTTTGTCCTCTGGAAGACGCCACTGGAAGAGAACAAATATAAGTGTGTTAGACTAAGTATCACATGACCTTCTATACAATCTCGTATTCAGAGCCTGCGCATTTGCCGCTGGCCAAAAGGATCGCGGCTATGGAAACGAGGCTGCTGTCTGTCAAAGAGAGGTCAGGTGTTGGTAGAATCTAAATAAACCTTGCCTTGTTTAAAATTCACTTTGGTTCACTTTGCGGCTTGTTATATGTATTGTTATGATTGTCATTAAGTGCTAGTTTTAGTTTTAAGAATTCGGCGGTACATTAACACAAGGTTGATAAATTGACAAAGGCGATTACCAGTCTTGGCAATAAAGAGGTCAATTCATCGCATGTGTCAAAATTCTCAAACAAACATGGATTGCAGTAAATGGATTGAACGCAGGAATGTCAATAGCCCTTTTCGTCTGACCTTCCTTGGGAGAACAGTCTTTCTCGAAACCGCGCTAAATTTGCATAAGCAAGGATACGACACGGTTAACCAGCAAAGACAACTGGTGTACTAGTCTTTTGTTCTTCCGATTAAAACAAAGACTTGAAAAACAGCTATTATAAACTTTAAAACCTATTTAGACTATCGAACAAAAGACCACCTGTCGCTTACAAATGAAGGATAATTTACTGCGGCAATGTTGCTAGGAAGTTTGAGCGCGCAATTTTGCGGTCTACCGCGTTCACTGTTCACCGTCTTACCGAGAATTATAACTGCGGGAAGCTTACAGGATGAAGCTTTCATTTTCAGACGTTGTTCCCCCCTAGGAAACACCCCAGGAAATTCAAAGCGAAAAGCAGCCGATTATTCTATTAACGCAACGTAGCACGCTGGATGCTGCGGTTCAGTCGACTAGAACCCAATTATTCAGTATTATTATGTTTTACGATAAAATGTTGCTGACTGTGCAATTTGTTACTACAACTAATGAAATTGAATGTTTCAACTTGACTAGAGTGACACGAAACGAAGACATAAAATATTGGGTTTTACATGTAGTTATGTCGGATTCGCTTCTTTTACTAATTGTAGCTTGTATTTTCATTGCACTGAGTGATTAACTCATAATGCTCAGCCAAATGGCTGATTGGGGGCTAAAATCTATCTTTGAAATGTAAAACAACAAGCATTACAGTACATAAACTCACCTTACTAAAAGGTTTCCTCTTTCGTTTGACTGCTAAAGGATACAGACACAGTTCACATTTGCTCATCACTGCCCGCTGTAACCAGTTCATTAAACAAGAGTGATGAACGAACTTGACAGAGCCAGTACACAAACATGGACTTATCAAGATCTCCATTTCCTCGCTGCAATGACAAATGCGACAAACATCGCTTTCAACGTCCGTACTTTCTCCTTCAGAGAAGTATAAAATCTTGGTTGTGTCTGAAGGCGATTTATCGAAACTGTTCTCGGCATTAGTCCTCTCCAACTCAAACACATTGTCCATCTCGATACACACGTTTCCTGGTTGGTCGGCCATGTTTAAAACAGAGGTCCTTAGCTGATCGCGGTCGACGTCTACGAAAACGGTTACTGGAATTTCCACCGTAAGATTTTCACAGTCGCTGTCACTTTCTATTCTCTGAGGTATTACCATAGCACAATCCCCTTTCGGTCGCTCTTGAGAATCAGCGGATGTTTCATTTAACACCTCTCGATCCAAGGAAGTTGCAATAACTTCTTCCGTTTCGCTTCCATCCACTTTTATCTTGTCATGCTCAGTATGTTCTTGGGTAATTGCTTGTTCTGTTACTCTTCCACTTTGATTCACACGATGCTTGGCATTTATTTCTTCGACAATGTCATTCTGTGTAAGGTTAGAGTTTTCAACTTCATTTTCTATTGTAACAACTATTCCTGAATCTTCTCCGTCACCATTACGACACGTTGTCTCGGACATTTATGCTTCCTTCGCCGGTAACAGCTTCTCTGCTACCCTGTTAAGAGTAGAGAACAGAGAAAATAATTTATCGTTGATAGTGTGATGGAAAACAAGACGTTTAAGGAAAAAGTCCCCTTTGGGTACTGAGTGCGAACCTTAATTTTAGCCGTTCGGTTGAATAAAAGTATTAAACTTGAATTTAAATGAAATGTGCTGAACACCAAGCAGATAGCAACGAGCCCAATCAGGTTATAACAAAGTCAACAATAAATATAATATAATAACTGATTTTTCTATCACGCACCAAAATATGAACATTCTAGAGCTTGCAGAGGGTTGGCTATTGCATTCTAACACACTGAACCCTATTATTTCACGAAGATCATTCGGAAAAAGTTCGTCGCAATAGAGTGATATTGCACCAC